CTTGCTGACTGGGTCACTCATAGAGCATGTGATGAAGCATATCATTGACTGGGTTACTCATATAGCATGTTAAGAACTATCTTTCTGACATGGTTACTCATAGAGCATTTTATAAACCATCTTACTTTACTGGGTCACCCATAGAGCATGTCATGAAGCATATTGCTGACTGGGTTACTCATAGAGCATATTATGAAGCATCTTGCTGACTGGGTTACTCATAGAGCATCTTATGAAGCATCTTGTCGACTGGGTCACTCATGGAGCATCCGATAAACCATTTTCTCGACTGGGTCACTCATGGAGCATGTCATGAAGCATCTTGCTGACTGTGTTACTCATACAGCATTGTATGAAGCATCATGCTGACTTGGTCACTCGTAGAGCATCTGATAAACCATCTTCTCGACTGGGTTACTCATAGAGCATGTCATGAAGCATCTTGGTGACTGGGTCACTCATAGAGCATGTGATGAAGCATATCGTTGACTGGGTTACTCATAGAGCATGTTATGAACTATCTTACTGACTGGGTCACTCATAGAGCATTTTATGAAGCATCTTGCTGACTGGGTTACTCATAGAGCATTTTATGAAGCATCATGCTGACTGGGTCACTCATAGAGCATCTGATAAACCATCTTCTCGACTGGGTTACTCATAGAGCATTTTATGAAGCATCTTGCTGACTGGGTTACTCATATAGCATCTTATGAAGCATCTTACTGACTGGGTTAAACATAGTGCATCTTATGAAGCATCTTGCTGACTGGGTCACCCATAGAGCATGTTATGAAGCGTCTTGCTGACTGGGTTACTCATGGAGCATTTTATGAAGCATCTCGATCACTGAGTCACTCATAGAGCATCTGATAAACCATCTTCTCGACTGGGTTACTCATAGCGCATGTCATGAAGCATCTTGCTGACTGGGTCACTCATAGAGCATGTGATGAAGCATATCGTTGACTGGGTTACTCATAGAGCATGTTATGAACTATCTTACTGACTGGGTCACTCATAGAGCATTTTATGAAGCATCTTGCTGACTGGGTTACTCATAGAGAATTTTATGAAGTATCATGCTGACTGGGTCACTCATAGAGCATCTGATAAACCATCTTCTCGACTGGGTTACTCATAGAGCATTTTATGAATCATCTTGCTGACTGGGGTACCCATAGAGCATGTTATGAAGCAGCTTGCTGACTGGGTTACACATAGTGCATCTTATGAAGCATCTTGCTGACTGGGTCACCCATAAAGCATGTTATGAAGCGTCTTGCTGACTTGGTTACTCATAGAGCATGTTATGAAGCATCTTGCTGACTGGGTCACTCATAGAGCATGTTATGAAGCATCTTGCTGACTGGGCTACTCATACATAATTTTATGAAGCATCTTGCTGACTGGGTTACTTATATAGCATCCTATGAAGCATCTTACTGACATGGTTACTCATAGAGCATGTCATGAAGCATATTGCTGACTGGGTTACTCATAGAGCATATTGTGAAGCATCTTGCTGACTGGGTTACTCATAGAGCATCTTATGAAGCATCTTGTCGACTGGGTCACTCATAGAGCATCCGATAAACCATCTTCTCGACTGGGTCACTCATGGAGCATGTCATGAAGCATCTTGCTGACTGTGTTACTCATACAGCATTGTATGAAGCATCATGCTGACTTGGACACTCGTAGAGCATCTGATAAACCATCTTCTCGACTGGGTTACTCATACAGCATGTCATGAAGCATCTTGGTGACTGGGTCACTCATAGAGCATGTGATGAAGCATATCGTTGACTGGGTTACTCATAGAGCATGTTAAGAACTATCTTACTAACTGGGTCACTCATAGAGCATTTTATGAAGCATCTTACTGACTGGGTTACACATAGTGCATCTTATGAAGCATCTTGCTGACTGGGTCACCCAAAGAGCATGTTATGAATTGTCTTGCTGACTGGGTCACTCATAGAGCATGTCATGAAGCATCTCGCTCACTGGGTCACTCATGGAGCATTTTATGAAGCATCTTGCTGACTGGGTTACTCATACAGAATTTTATGAAGCATCTTGCTGACTGGGTTACTTATATAGCATCTTATGAAGCATCTTACTGACTGGGTTACTCATAGAGCATCCGATAAACCATCTTCTCGACTGAGTCACTCATAGAGCATGTCATGAAGCATCTTGCTGACTGGGTTACTCATAGAGCATCTTATGAAGCATCTTTCTGACTTGGTTACTCATAGATCATTCTATGAAGCATCTTGCTGACTGGGTTACTCATAGAGCATATTATGAAGCATCTTGCTGACTGGGTTACTCATAGAGCATCTAATGAAGGATCTTGTCGACTGGGTCACTCGTAGAGCATCTGATAAACCATCTTCTCGACTGGGTTACTCATAGCGCATGTCATGAAGCATCTTGCTGACTGGGTCACTCATAGAGCATGTGATGAAGCATATCATTGACTGGGTTACTCATAGAGCATGTTAAGAACTATCTTCTCGACTGGGTTACTCATAGAGCATTTTATGAAGCATCTTGCTGACTGGGGTACCCATAGAGCATGTTATGAAGCATCTTGCTGACTGGGTTACTCATATAGCATTATGAAGCATCTTACTGACCGGGTTACACATAGTGCATCTTATGAAGCATCTTGCTGACTGGGTCACCCATAGAGCATGTTATGAATTGTCTTGCTGACTGGGTCACTCATAGTGCATGTCATGAAGCATCTCGCTCACTGGGTCACTCATGGAGCATTTTATGAAGCATCTTGCTGACTGGGTTACTCATACAGAATTTTATGAAGCATCTTGCTGACAGGGTTACTTATATAGCATCCTATGAAGCATCTTACTGACTGGGTTACTCATAGAGCATGCGATAAACCACCTTCTCGACTGGGTCACTCATAAAGCATGTCATGAAGCATCTTGCTGACTGGGTTACTCATAGAGCATCCTATGAAGCATCTTACTGACTGGGTTACTCATAGAGCATCCGATAAACCATCTTCTCGACTGGGTTACTCATAGAGCATGCCATGAAGCATCTTGCTGACTGGGTCACTCATGGAGCATGTCATGAAGCATCTTGCTGACTGGGTTACTCATACAGCATTTTATGACGCATCATGCTGACTTGATCACTCATAGAGCATCTGATAAACCATCTTCTTGACTGGGTTACTCATAGAACATTTTATGAAGCATCTTGCTCACTGGGTTACTCATAGAGCATGTTATGAAGCATCTTGCTGACTGGGTTACTTATAAAGGATCTTATGAAGCATCATGCTGACTGGGTTACTCATAAAGGATCTCTTATGAAGCATCTCGGTGACTTGGTTACTCATAGAGCATGTTATGAAGCATCATGCTGACTGGGTTACTCATAGAGCATCTTATGAAGCACCTTGCTGACTGGGTTAGGTTACTGGAGTACTAGTGATGGGTCAGACTAAACAGAGTAAATATCAACTAAGTCATGCAAACGTGGGATTAAATTATTATATTTTTAAACTGCAAAGTCTTAATACCTATAAACAAGTGTTATTATATATTTAGAGGCATCTTTTCCATGGTGAAGTGAATCTATAATTTGAAATATCTCTTCAATGTGAAATCAGCATACCTAAAGATGTGCGTTATTATATAATTAGGTATATCTCTACAATGAGAAATCAGCATACCTAAAGATGTGCGTTATTATATAATTAGGGATGTCTCTACAATGTGCAATCAGCATACCTAAAGATGTGCGTTATTATATAATTAGGGATATCTCTACAATGTGAAATCAGCATACCTAAAGATGTGCGTTATTATATAATTAGGGATATCTCTACAATGTGCAATCAGCATACATACCTACAAGATGTGCGTTATTATATAATTAGGGATATCTCTACAGTGAAATCAGCATGATGTGCGTTAAATTGATGCACCCTGCTGACCTTCAGAGCTCAAGTGCTTTGTGGCTGTAACTGAAAGGTTCAAACCAGCGTCCCGTTTCCTGGAAACTCGTAAAAACATGAGTCTTTCCCGGGAACTGTGCGTTCTAGATGACATGGTGTGTTACGTCGTCTGATAAGGACTTGCACAAAAGTCTCTGACACGTTGAGACACCCCCTTTATACAGTTCAAATAGATTATAGCAGATCAAGTTGAAATATTTGAAGGAAAGACAATGCAAACGTTTATGAAATATATTTATCGTCCTTACGTTGACACGTGTTACAAGCAACAGTAAACTGAGCATTATGAAATCAACCTCATCGCTACAAATTGAAGGTTACTCTGTACATGTATATCACTACAGGTTACTCTGTACATGTATATCACTACAGGTTACCCTGTACATGTATATCACTACAGGTTACTCTGTACATGTATATCACTACAGGTTACCCTGTACATGTATATCACTACAGGTTACTCTGTACATGTATATCACTACAGGTTACTCTGTACATGTATATCACTACAGGTTACCCTGTACATGTATATCACTACAGGTTACTCTATACATGTATATCATTGACTAGCAACTAGTCTCTGAGATGAACATATTTTACAGAAAAAGGGCTCATTGTGAACAAAAAACAAAATCTTATAAAAAGGAGCCCTAAGAGTTTTTTCAGACTTGCCACATTTTCTAGACTTGAGTGGGATTTCTTGGATATATTTGCTTCAGGGTCTGTATGAAAGACTAATGTATATCACAGGTTAGTCTGTACATGTAGATCACTACAGGTTACTCTGTACATGTAGATCACTACATGTTACTCTGTACACCTATATCACTACAGGTTACTTTGTACATATGTATCACTAGAGGTTACTAAAACACCCGGCCTGCATTACTTATGTCACTTTCTGGACGCCCCTAGAACACTCATAACCACATTCATACGCCCCCGCGTCTAGTGTTTATTCCCCAAGAATTGTATGTACAAACATCGCAACTATTTACAGAACCAACATGATCCCAAACAGGAAGGGAACTATCATGAGAGTTAGCCGGACATATTTCACAGGATTCAGCTTGTCATTACACCTCGAACCACCAAGTCGTTGTGAGTATGATTTCTTTCCGATGATTCCTTCATCTGCGTTTCAGATTTCATGTCAGGGTTTGTGTAGGATCTCTATTTGAAAGAAAAGTTTAAACTTTGGGGTATTCTGACAGTAAAGATATTCACATTATACTAGTAAACGTAGAATTATTGAAAATCATTCCGATGGCCTTTGACTCATTATGTTCTTCAAACTCAATATAGTGCTCTGTAAAATAATCTTTCGACAGAACAGAACTTTTACTACGCTCAGGCCTTGAGGTACAGATATACAGTTAAGAATACATAGGGTGGCGGGGTGGTTACAATTTTACGCGTTAAGTACAAAACCATGACGAACTACACACAAAATGGCTTATACAGTACAATGTAGTTTGCCCTTTATCGAGACAATTTGTTTTTCCATATAGTCAGAATTACTTTCCAAATAATAAATGTAAAGTTGACCAATATTGAACAAACATTTGCCCAGTTCCGGTTGAAGGATACCATATCTTGACATATCATAGTAACGGACAATTTCATTTTTTAAATATTCTAACTTTGGTCTGAAACCATTTATGCTGTATCTATAGATATACTGTTTAACTACTAAAATGATTTCATAAATCGGGTTATTTTTTTCCCCCTTTCATTCCCAATATAATGATTTTATTTGTAAGTTCAAATTGTAACTGTGCTGAATTCAACAATGATTCTATTTCTTTCCATAATTTAAGGACAGATTCGCATTCCATAGCATAGTTGATACTTTCTGTTTCTGTTTCACAAAACGGACATATTGGTGAAGGTGTATATCCAATTTCATAAAGTAATAATAATAATTCTCTTATAATAATAATAATAATTCCGAGGATATTGTGAATAATACTACATTGCAACCATTTCAAGTCATTTTCAGTAAAAGTAAAAGTGTATCGGCAAATGACCCAGGCAATGAAAGTCTTCGTTACACTTAAGTGCACACCAACCCGCTCTGACTGGGTTAGGTATCCCGGGTGCTTCGTTTCGAGGGAAGTAAACCCAAGTACAAAATATTGCACTTTTGATGTGCGATTGTACGCTTATAAGTTTCAGCAATGTATATTATATGTCATGAATAGGTGATAATTGTGTTTTAATTATATTTGTTTTTTTTTGGTTGCATGTGACCTTTAATAACGGTGTTAGCATCTACAGCGAAAAGTCGCATCAACTGCACTGCTTCAGTGTGTCCAAATTGTACTTTAAACGCCTAAACAGTTACCGTTGGAACCTTTGTCACATCATAAGAAAGAATCTCCAGCAAAATCGTAGTTGGGATGAAATCCAGTAACTTTGTAACCACTGCAATACGTCATGTTCTCTCACGTCCTTGTAATGTGGAGACACACATTGGCATGTAGCCAGAATTACCTTGGTACTTGAAAAACCGTGACAACGCGTACGTGGATGCAGTTTGTTCTCGTCACGAGAACAAAACCTGTTTTTTTAAAAGAATATCCGAGTTCACAGTTGGTCAGTGTTCCATTGAGAGTATTTATAATTGACTGTGGAATTCCCCCTACTCTATCTTACTCGATGAGCAATTTAAAAAAATGTATCACAGATATCCTGAACGCAAACGTATATGGGCGCATGGCCTGTCTCAATATAAGGTCATATAAAACAGCTAGCAGGCGGTATGCTCATATAATAACTCATTTCTGATAGTTTGATACTTTTCCTTGATGTATAATATGAACATGTTTGTTTTCTTTTGTTTTTAAAAAAGCAAGATGAACTTCAAGAAGCAGCTGTTTGGACTGCTGGTGGTTTTTGTGCTGTTATCGGGTGAGTGTCAGAATGAGCAATGTGACGTGAACTGCTCCAGTAGGCATTCAAATACACCCTGCGAAACGCAAAAGTGGTTGAGTATAGAAGGCAAAACATTACAGGGTTTTATTTCATCTAAAGAAGTTTTGACAACAGAAAATTCTTCAAAATTATTATTTATTGGATTGTGGATACTTACAAACTGATACATATTCTGTGTACACACAAACTACTGAAGTCAAACCAGATTTGGGATAAAATAAAGTCACGCTTAAACTTTCCTTTCTCGTTCATATTGTTGTACATCTCAAATTGAGAAAATCGCTGGGTTGGATTTATGTTTGAAATTTTGACATTTAAAAGACGTGTGATGGAAACAATGTTCATCCCAATTCAACACAAGTATATTTGGAATATACTAAGATACAGAGAAGCGTTGAGTCAGTTGTTTCTAAAGAGTCAGAAGTAGGGGTGTCACGATACACCAATCTCACGATACGATACGTATCACGATTTTAAGGTCACGATACGATACGTATCGCGATACATAATTTTCGCGCCTTTTCATAGCATTACCTTATCGGCAACGTACGCGCTCGCTGATTGGTCCATCAAAATAGTCTAGCCAATTACAAAAACTGTTAGTTTCCAACCTACTTTTTAAGTAAAGCTAGCTACATCTATTTATCGGAGCGATCTCGTATAATTTTACTATCAAGACTTTGAAGGAGATGGATATAGCATAAAAATTTGAATCGATAAAGTTTTAATATAGGAATCGATACACGCAAGCATGTATCGCGTATCGTATCGTCAGTAAAAATGTATCGATGCATCGATACATTCTCGTATCGCGACACCCCTAGTCAGAAGATGACACTAGGAGCACACTACATTTGTCTCATGACAGTATATCATAAGTGAACTGATAATTTAGCTGCCGTTCTCTTCATTTGGAACTAAAAACTCATCAAATATAGTCGACTGCCCGTCAGTGCACTATGCCTGTCTAGACCATACTATTCTCAAAAGGATCCCGGACCTTCACAGATCAAGCTGACACACCAGGATATGAAGGACGGCTGGTAACCTAACGCCGTGTCACTGACTAGATCCATGTTAACCTGTTCAGAATCCGGTCAATGTTTAAAAAGAGGAAGCTATTTAGGGAACAACAGGAATGGGCTCAACACATTGTACCCATGTGGGAATCGAACCCGGATCTTCAGCGTGACGAGCGAACGCTTTAACCACTAGGCTACCCCATCTGCCCCGGTGTATCATAAGGATGAAACAATCTTTGTATCATAATGACGTAGCAATCGCCGTATCATAAAGATGTAACAATCGGTGTATCATAATGGCGTAGCAATCTCCGTATCATAAAGATGTAACAATCTATGTATCATAATGACGTAGCAATCTCCGTATCATAAGGATGTAACAATCTTTGTATCATAATGACGTAGCAATCTCCGTATCCGTATCATAAATGACGTAGCAATCCTCGTATCATAAGGATGTAAAATCGGTGTATCATAATGACGTAGCAATATCATAATGAACAATCTTTGTATCATAATGACGTAGCAATCTCCGTATCATAAAGATGTAACAATCTTTGTATCATAATGACGTAGCAATCTCCGTATCATAAGATGTAACAATCTTTGTATCATAATGACGTAGCAATCGCCGTATCATAAGGATGTAACAATCTTTGTATCATAATGACGTAGCAATCGCCGTATCATAAGGGATGACGTAACAATCGGTGTATCATAATGACGTAGCAATCTCCGTATCATAAGGATGTATCATAAGGATGTAACAATCTTTGTATCATAAATGACGTAGCAATCTCCGTATCATAAAGATGTAACATGTTTGTAACAATCTCCGTATCATAATGATGTAAATCAATCGGTGTATCATAATGATGTAGCAATCTCATAATATCATAAAGGATGGATCGCCGTATCATAAGGATGTAACAATCGGTGTATCATAATGACGTAGCAATCTCCGTATCATAAGGATGTAACAATCTTTGTATCATAATGACGTAGCAATCATAATGCCGTATCATAAGGATGTAACAATCGTAGCAATCGCCGTATCATAAAGATGTATCATATAATGACGTAGCATAAGGATGTAACAATCCGTATCATAATGACGTAAACAATCTTATGACATAATCGCCGTATCATAAGGATGTAACAATCGGTGTATCATAATGACGTAGCAATCTCCGTATCATAAGGATGTCATAAGGATGTAACAATCTTTGTATCATAATGACGTAGCAATCTCCGTATCATAAAGATGTAACAATCGGTGTATCATAATGACGTAGCAATCGCCGTATCATAAGGATGTAACAATCTTTGTATCATAATGACGTAGCAATCGCCGTATCATAAGGATGTAACAATCGGTGTATCATAATGACGTAGCAATCTCCGTATCATAAGGATGTAACAATCTTTGTATCATAATGACGTAGCAATCTCCGTATCATAAGGATGTAACAATCTTTGTATCATAATGACGTAGCAATCGCCGTATCATAAGCATGAAACAATCTTGTATCATAATGACTTAGCAATCTCCGTATCATAAGGATGTAACAATCTTTGTATCATAATGACGTAGCAATCTCCGTATCAAAAGCATGTAACAATCTTTGTATCATAATGACGTAGCAATCTCCGTATCATAAGGATGTAACAATCTTTGTATCATAATGACGTAGCAATCCTCGTATCATTAGGATGTAAAAATCGGTGTATCATAATGGCGTAGCAATCTTCGTATCATAAGGATGTAGTAATCGCCGTATCATAAGGTTGTAACAATCGGTGCATCATAAGGATGTAGTAATCGCCGTATCATAAGGTTGTAACAATCGGCGTATCATAAGGATGTAACAATCGGTGTATCATAATGACGTAGCAATCTCCGTATCATAAGGATGTAACAATCTTTGTATCATAATGACGTAGCAATCTCCGTATCATAAAGATGTAACAATCTTTGTATCATAATGACGTAGCAATCTCCGTATCATAAAGATGTAACAATCGGTGTATCATAATGACGTAGCAATCGCCGTATCATAAGGATGTAACAATCTTTGTATCATAATGACGTAGCAATCCTCGTATCATTAGGATGTAACAATCGGTGTATCATAATGACGTAGCAATCTCCGTATCATAAGCATGAAACAATCTTTGTATCATAATGACGTAGCAATCGCCGTATCATAAGGATGTAACAATCGGTGTATCATAATGACGTAGCAATCTCCGTATCATAAGGATGTAACAATCTTTGTATCATAATGACGTAGCAATCGCCGTATCATAAGGATGTAACAATCGGTGTATCATAATGACGTAGCAATCTCCGTATCATAAGGATGTAACAATCTTTGTATCATAATGACGTAGCAATCTCCGTATCATAAGCATGTAACAATCTTTGTATCATAATGACGTAGCAATCGCCGTATCATAAGGATGTAACAATCTTTGTATCATAATGACGTAGCAATCCTCGTATCATTAGGATGTAAAATCGGGGTATCATAATGGCGTAGCAATCTTCGTATCATAAGGATGTAGTAATCGCCGTATCATAAGGTTGTAACAATCGGTGCATCATAAGGATGTAGTAATCGCCGTATCATAAGGTTGTAACAATCGGCGTATCATAAGGATGTAACAATCGGTGTATCATAATGACGTAGCATTCTCCATATCATAAGCATGTAACATTCGGTTTATCATAATGACGTAGCAATTGCCGTATCATAAGGATGTAAGAAACTCCGTATCATAAAAATGTAACAATCGGTGTATCATAATGGCGTAGCAATCTCCGTATCATAATGATGTAGTAATCGCCGTATCATAAGGATGTAACAACCGCTATATTCACTACTAAACATATAATACTCAATGAAACACTGATCATAATCGAAACATCAGACCAACTGGCTGTTCCTCTCTTTGCACCTCTCCCTCGTAACAAATAGTGAACGGTGTCAAAATCTTAATGATAGTTTGTTAAATGACTTTTTTTTTGTTTTTAGGACATACATTCTGCAAGCAAATCACAGAGTTGGTCTGATGTTTGGATTATGATCAGTGTTTCATTGAGTATTATATGTTTAGTAGTTTTCGAGTTAGATTGCAATTCATCGGTCCGATTTTGAGCCAAACGGACTATAAATGGTTGATAATTCAACACCGGAAATTTGTTAAACTTAAAAAATGATAAGTGTGCAATAAAATCTTCTGAACACTTTATTGATCGTGACCGCTTATTCCTGGACGATTGTACTTTCAGCGTCTCCCGGATATGCAGCTGTCTTCTACCACTACACCAACCAAGCCGGCGTTAACGGCATTAAACAGACCGGCTATATCAAACAGAGTACTAATCCGAAATATGCACACTTTGGAACAGGTAAATGTTTGTGCTACATGGTTTTGACTTCATTAAAAAATTACAAATTTAAACTTTAACATGGGTATGATATCGGTGAATATTACCCGATGAAACATTGAAGATTAATATTACATTACAATATTACATTAGTAGCATTAATATTTCTTCCAAATAATTGAGGGTTAGAATTGATCTTCAGCAACTCATACCTGTCATAAGAGACGATTAACGGGATCGGGCGGTCAGGCTTTCTGACTTGGTTGACACATGTCATTGTATCCCAATTGAGTAGATCAATACCCATGATGTTGATCACTGGATTGCCTGGTCCATATTCAATTATTTACATACGCCGCCATATAGTTGGTGTAAGGCTGAGTGCGGTGCTCCACAACATCAAACTAACTAACAGGTTCAGCAAGGCAGTAGTACCAGGGGTTACTAACGGCTACTCTCTGTTACGCCTTGTTGCGGTCGCTCCCACCGATCTGTCCCGGCATCTTGATCACGATCCACCTTTGGTTGCAGGAGTGTATGGCACAGGTCTGAGTCCCGACCACGGCAAGGAGGCAATTGCTAAGAACAACTACCAAAACGGCTGGAAGGCAAATATGAACGCTGGGCGGGTAGATTTTGCCTTCAAGTTCGACCTACCCAGTAACAGGGTGAAGACATTTATCCCGAAAGGCCGTAACATAATGCTGTACACTGGAGGGAACCTAACTCTTAGCGAAAACCCTTACACCGTGGAGGAGACACCCAATGATGCAAATGTCCTGTTTAAATCTCCTGGGTCCTTCGCTGCTAAGTTTGCTTCTTACAGTCCATGTATCGTCATCAATGCATTCATGGTATTCACCATCATTAAGATGTACTAAATCATATGTGCATCGCCTTTCGCCACGTTCATAACAAACCTCGCTTTATGTAGAAAAAATTCCGTTCATAGATTTTGTGTCGTATATATGAAACAACAGGAAGGTACATTTTGCTATCTAAATGAAAACAGATTATTTGCACGTATGTACCTTTTTCACAATTGCTTGTATGTCATACACGAGTATTAATCGCATTCTCAGAGCATACAGATTTGACACTAGCAGACACATTCCTTCTGAACACCGATTGCAATTTTGTAATTAGAATGTACGTAGTGTTCTAAAAGTGGGCATGCATTACACAAAACACAGACATGAACATGAATTTATGTTTCAATTTTCCTGCACATTTTCGCATATTTTCTTTCACAGTTAAGATCCACTCGTGAATACTGCATGCTAATATGTATTAACATAGACCAGACATTATATACCCATCAAAAGTTTAGACTCACTTAAAGCACTCACTATATGTTATGTATATGTATGTGGTTACATCGAAGATGAATTTCTCCACCAACTTGGGGGGAACCAACTGAAAACCTTATGCAGATGAATTGCACAAGGATGATGCTTCAAATTGCGAAAGGCATGAGCAAATGTCGTGCATGTGAACAGATTCGTTTTGGTGTAAAGTTTTGTTAAGAATTCGCCAATTTTCACACATTTTAATCATTTACTGAACTCATGACAATAATCTTTTCAATGTTACGAATATGTTTTACAATACACCAGTTCATAACTAAACAGTACCTTTAAACAGTATGGAATATTTTGCAAAAAGCTAGTTTAGAACAGTGGACAAGTAAGTGGCTACATTTACACTAGTGAGTCTAAACTTTTTGATGGGTAGTATACATGGTTCGATAGGTGGCTGCAAACACAACTACACACGTACACATATACGCACACATTTTAGGCATACTTATTAATGAACACAATTATGGACCATTAACTGGCATATAGCATATTAAACGGGAAGTTTATCACGAAATATGTTATGTTTTGTGTTTAAATGTCCCTAAGTCTTTTCCCCTACATGCTGTAGAGTGTCTTGGTGTAATGATGAGTTTTGAGTGACTCAGAGACTAATCCACTGCGGGTCGTCGAGTTATCTGTTTTTTCTGATGTCCATCATGATACTGAAGCATTGTCTTGTCCACATTTCCACATATCCTTAATAAACCTGACAGCAGATTTGTTGTTTTGTTGGGTCCTATCAATGAGTTCCACCAGATCCTCCTGCAGGGGTTTAGTTACTTTCGACAGCCATGAACTGGGAACGTAGAGCTGGGTAAAAGAACCTTACCTCTTCGAGGCTCTTTCAAGGTACGCATTGTCAGGAAAATCCGTATCATTTACTCAAAATGTAATATGTCGGAGTATAAATTCGCCATTTCTACTTGCCGACTCTAAGCGAGGATCTTGCAAGACACGACAGATTGTAAACCTAGTCTCAACTCGTGAATATATATACTACACAGAGCTATTTCAGAAAAGATCCTGTACATCATCCATTTGGTAAAGAATCTCCGCCCATAACATGCGGACACTCAAGATATAAGTATACAACACCATAAAACATAAGTATACAACGTGAAAATATTATAACATTTGCTAACAAATTAAGTGTTTAATAAAAACCATCCGTTTCTACTACCAACTCCTCCCGGCAACAGGACACCACAAAACAGAAATGACCAGTTTCAGTCGTGCCAATCTCAAAATTGAGTGTTATCCGTTAACTACGACAGCAACGGCAAATCGCCGTCTCTGTATCGACACGTCTATGAAAGAAAGCTTGAGGAATCTTAGGTCATCCCCGAACCAAACAGGCTTCCGGTTCCTGAAGTGTGTGTGGCGGTCTTCGAATTTATGTATGTGGGTCCGTGACCACATAGCTTCATGTGAACGTAACCTACCACCACTAAAACATAAATGTCCGAAGAAATGTTATGATGGAAGTGATGTTTAACCTAATGAATCAATGAATTTCCTGTTCAATGAAATGTTGAGGAAGTGTCCCTAATATTTTACGAACGCTTTATCGTTCATGCTTGTCAATCAAAATTGAAATAAAGACGTTTGTCTTTATTGATTATTATACTTCCCAACTTCTAAAATGTCACTCTAAGAAACAAATATTACAAATAATTTCCAATATCCCCGAACGAATCTGCTCACCTACCATCTGTGTGTTTACACCTGAATATTCTAACACAATGTCATACCACTGATGCTGCAATCTGTTGCAGAGTTTAAGTGCATCAGTGGTTTGCCAACTAAGTGATAATGTTTGTACTCCTTGCCTCTCTCTACACTCCACAAACAATGTACAGTACCTATTAACGAGAAATAATGAATGTAGACTGAATGGCTATAGAACAAATACACAAGACACCAAGGTAGGGCTGTAATCGTGCCAATCGGAACTGTCACACGCTCCATGTGTGAGAGACGTTCCTGTCATATCAGTATTGGACGTATCTCATCATCACATCTCTGTCACGTCGATCAGGCGTCCACGCCCCTGAGGTGAGAAGGTAGGCAATCCTGGCTCTATAAAGGGGAGTAACCCTCAATACGTTGTCATACAGCGGAGACTTGAAGTGGACACTCTGTGAGTATAATGTTTTAGTCAACGAGTAGACAAGACAAGACAAGAATTTTATTGTATTCAAGGCCTCCGGCCCATATACAGTTTACAGAGTTATACAAAAATATTTTTTACAAGTAAGTTGTAACTAATGTTTCAACAATTGATCTCTTAACTTACTGGAGTGTTTTATAAACAATGACAGATTTCTAATATTTTGTTCATTGCAAGAACATAATAGTGATTTAAAAGCTACATCGGGGGGTTTTGACATGTAATACTCCGGTATATATTTCTTTCTAATGTCAGCATAAGATTTACAGATAAAGGTGAAGTGAATTTCGTTTTCTACTGCTTCTTTACATAATGGACAGATTCTTTGATTCCTCTCGATGGACATTTTTCTTCCTTCATTTACCATTAAATTTAGCAAACCTAGTCTGAATTTTATAAATGTATACCTTAAATCGTTGCATCTAAGTACAGATAAATATTTTTCTGGTTGTAGTAAAGTTTTAAATGTCCTATAACAATCATAGCGTGTGCTATTATTCAAACGTGATTGCCATTCCTGGTGATACATATTAATAGCTCGATTGCGAAAATCATTAATAAAAACATCGATATGACCAACAGTTTGGTTTAACCAGACATACCCATAACCATGAGAAAATAATAAATATCTTAAACTTGAAGCCCACGTTACTTTGCCAATACTATCTAAATGAACCAACATATTATAGGGCAGTTTTGGAATACGATGGTTAGGCATTTTAAGAATTTTAAACCAGTATTTTAAACATCTTATCTGTGAATTTATGTAAAGTGGGTATCTCCCGCACTCCCCATACACCATAATATTTGGTGTTGACGATCCAACTCCCAAAAATCTTTTACATGCTAATAAATGTATTTTTTCTAAACAATCGAAACGTTGAAATCCCCATATTTCTGAACCATATAATAAAATTGGTTGTATTTGGGCATCAAAAAGTTTGAAAAATAGACCTGGTGTTAACATGCCAGTCTTGTAAATAACCGGTATTAACTGGAAAAGAGCTTTCTTAGCACGTAGGGAGAGATCATAAACACTTTTTTTCATATTGAAGGTATGATAAAAACGAACACCGAGGTACGTGTAACAATCAACTGTTTTCACAAGTTGATCGGCCAGTGTCCTAACTGGACGTTTCACGTTCACGTCTCTCGCGTCTAATGCTTGCCACGGTTCTTGCTGTTCCACGTTGTGCAGGTGCGTCCTTATCCGTGCGTTGCTTGGTCACCAGTTGGCCGTTCTTGAAGAATCCGTACTTTCCGGTTCCTTTCAGTTCCTGTAGTTGTCGGCGTTGCCGCGTAGTTATGTCGCTCGAGATCCCATATCCAGCTTCTTTAAGATCGTTACGTGCTTTAAGCGCTCTTACCTTGTCATCCGAAACCTGCAACTTGGCGATCACAGGGCGTGGTTTTGTATCGTTAACGCGTCGGGCGCCAAGAGGGTGGGCACGTATGACGTCGGTGGACTGCCAGGTCTTAAACGTCACATGTTCGTTGAAAATTGACAACACGGTTTGTTTACAGGCCATAGATTTCTCACCTTCTGATTCGGGGATACCGTAAATAATAACATTATCACGACGACTGATCGATTCAAGTCTATCCAACTCTTCATCAAACTTTGATAATTTTTCGCTCATTTCGTCTACCCTATCATTCACAGCATCGATGTCCGAATATATCAAATCCTGATTTTGCTTCATATTGTTGATATCAGACCGTATTTCCTTGACTGCGTTTTCAAGTTGTCCACATGTCGAGTTTATAGATTGCATTTCGGATTTTAGTGAAGAGATTTCTGATTTTACCTCGCGTAGTTCATTAAAACATCTTTAACCTCTTCCAGAGTCAGTGGACCGGGTTAGTTTCGATATCATTCGAACACATGAGTATCTGAGTGATAACCCTGGCTGGTGACACATCGCCTGCGAGAAAGCATGAGACCCGTGCATTCAGTGCATGGCAGCCAATCACTGTCTGACATACGAAGCTTGTGACGTCACATGATACACAAAGAAATATATTTTCTTTTGGTATATAATGCTCAAAATTCGTTTTTTCATGGAGGTGCAAAATACAGAACGAAGCTTGTAGGTGTAGTGTGAACAATAAAGCACAAATCAAAAGCCTGAACTGGACATCGGTCCCGACCGTGTATGGCGTGTACTCACTGTCTCTCGCTAGTCTCACTTGCAGGGTACCCACAGGTTGGGTGAAAGTTCCGATACGGGCTCGGTACACATCGAATTTCACCATTTTCGATCCAGATATAATGAATACACTACTATATAGTTCCTCACATGAAGATGTGTCCTCAGGAAGCTTTTATAGACAAAATATAGAAAGTTTTGTCTGCTCCTCGTCTCACATGCTGTCTACACACCAGGGGCACATAACTCTATTAAATGTAGTGATATATCTATTGTAGCGACCCTTCACCCAGGCTAAAAACACATCCAAGTGTACTGTATGGGAAACATTAGTATCCCAAAACATGTTTTTCTTGAGCATCATGACTTCAATTATTTTTGTGATTTTGAAACTATCAAACGAGCAACAGGGATTACGGATTGTGTCACGTCTGAAAATTATTCCATGTGATTTTGAGTGTTAGTTGTATGTAATTGTAATTATCCGCTTATATGGAGCTCATATCCAGACACATTGCCTGCTCACGGCGCTACGTACATTACTATCCCCGGTCATAGGACACTATCGTACTATCCTATACCTTTTCAACTCCCTTTAGATCATACAGACATGCTGTATGTTAGGCGCAATGGACTAAACACTCACATTGCCAGCACATCCTCACGGGTACCCATTTTACAGCTTGGTGAACTGAGACAATGTGGATCTACGTATCTTGTCCAATGATACTACGCAAATGTGCCCACCTCGGTGCCTCCACCGGGGATCGAACCAGGGCCTTCAGTGTGGTGGACGTATTTAGCCCACTGATACCTCCAGCGTTCCCCCTTCGTACGCAACGCGCTGTGATTCATGGGTCAACGTACCACTGTTGCTCATCTTGGAAGCGCCCCCGTAAAGTTCCCGGTTACAACTGGTCTTCAGACACCCATGTTTGTCGTAAGAAGCGACAGGATCGGGTGGTCAAGCTCGCTGACTTGGTTGACGCATGTCATCCTTTCCCAGTAGTGTAGGTCGATGCTCATGATGTTAATCACTGGACTGTTTGGTTCACATTCCATAATTTATTGACAGCCGTCATATAGCTCAAATATTTCCGAACTTCGGCGTTAAAATGCAAACAAACCATGGAAGATAATATCAGATTTCGATTTCAAGACATATTTCAGTTGTACATGGAAACGTCGTGTGCTTATCCTTGAAATAAAAACCAGAACAAGTTTGAATTGGATTTCGCTGTTTGTATTCTACTGCTGGAAATAGATTAACTGACACGCAGCGGAACAGATAGACCAGAAACTTAACGAAAAGATGCTCTATTGTTTCACCCCGCTTTAGTAGTATACCTGTGGCCATACCTCATCTGTCGACTCAAACATTTATATATTATATTATATTTAATAGAAATGGTTGCACTGATACTTTTCTTAGCCAAATATGATGATGTTAGAACATTGCACAATGAATGCCGTCATTGCTCTACAATGATGCTGTCCGGTAATTCCGCGCACATAAGCACATCGATCGCCACACGGCAACTAACGTCTCTTATTTTTTGTAGTTTATGTGACTAAACATGTTGGTATGCATCATGTGTAGCTAGAAATAAAAGTTTTATTGACGACTATAAGATTCTAACGTTGTATTATGCCGTACGGTTGACCTTACCGGCGTTCTGACGACATAGCTTGCTGTCCGGTAATTCTGCGCAGCAACTGATGCCCATGACATCCAGCTGGAGATCCGAAGTATGGAAGCGTATTAGGGCCAGATTATTTTCAAAAATCACTTCATCAATGTAAGGAAGAATGTTTCATATTAAATCCAATTATGAATAATGAAGAAAAAGGTTTAAAAGTCTGAAGAAAACGAATTTTCATAAAACTGTCAATTTATCTGTCAAGTACTGTTATTTACTTACCTTTAGTGATTAAAAGCCAGTCCCTTGTAGAAATGTCCTCATTTCAAGCGTAAATGTGGTAGCAGACGATGTTTACCTTCGATACGGAAGTACGCTATTGCAGCTGTGCGGAATTACCGGACTCGCTTGTACGTGGTATTGTATGACATCGTGTAATTGAGATTTACAACAACAAAATCTCATACAGAGTGAAACAAAACATCTTATTATAAGACGTTTATAGCATGTGACATTTTTCTTTCTAGATTTCTACATTTTTCACGCAACACCATGAAATTGATGCTAGTGATGCTTGTGCTTCTTCCTCTCGCGAACTCCTTCATAAACATCGTCTTCCGCCGAGAAGGCAACCGCAGGAAGGAGAGTAAGGCGTAAGTGTTATTGTTATAAATGCCCATCGAAACCTTGAACAACTTGTAATTCTTAAATATATTACCTGTTTTCCTCGGTATTTAACCCACAGTATATAGCAACCAATGTGCCTTGACGCTCATATAAGGGTGATCAGGCCAAGTACTATACACATTTTGCCTACCTTATTAAGCTCATAATAAATATGTGAAATAAGGGAGGGTACATGCGTTGTCGCACTCACGCGGGCATGTCGACATGAGCCTAGGCGCGACAGTGGGACCATGTGATTGATCAATTGTCCGTTTTAGGTTTTTGTACAAATTGTTCACAATGTCACGGGAGGAAAGCCCCTATACCGGGATCCAAAACATACTATTAGACGAAACGGAATTTAAGTATAGGTGAAAGAAGAAGTACATTACGTATGTGATATCAATTCTAGGCACAGTCTTTCTGCACGACTGGACAATGAGGACGCCATACGTTCGTTTGTGGAACACGAGGGAGAAAGTGAAGTAATCGACAATGAAAAACGTAGGTTTCTCACAAATACACACATTTAAATAATGGTCTTTTAACTGCCTGTTACAAATCCCGTAGTCCCATTGTGTATACTACTACTGAGGAGCATGCAAAATGTGATGAAAATCGGTCGAATAGTTTCTGAAATATTGACTTTTAAGAGAGCATGGGGTCGGTCGGGAAAAGGCAAAATGTCCAACTTTTTGTCGTAATTAAGTCTTAATTAATCTAATGAAGTCATCGAGAGTGTTTCCAATGCCGTTTTGTTTTAGCGTAACCATCTGTCGAGATGCATACAAAAATTTCACGAAAATCGGTCAAATAGTTTAGGAAATAATCACTTTTTAGTGAGCATGTGGTCGGTCTTGCGAAAGGCTAACAATCGAACGTATTGTCGTACTTGTTATTTAAATTACATTTGTGACGTCATTCCATTGTCTGTTCGGTCCATTACTTTTCAGGAATGGAGCGATGTGTACCAGTTTCAAAATAAAACCTTCATTTTGTCATTTTGACATTTAATTTTGATGACAGAAATATTCCCAATCGAATGTAATTTAAGAGAGGTGTCGTTCTATTCTGAATGAAACGCCTCGGTCTCCGGGGCCTCGGCTCCATTATTTTTAAGGAATGGAGAGTCACCTCGCACATTACCCTCTACATCATATCGAGGCGAGAGGTGTTTTTAGCTGAATGAAACGCATGTCACGGCAGTCATCACCTCGCTACCGTCTCGGGGGTTGCTTTGAGCGAGCGCCGTGGACGAGTATAAGTGTGTGTGCGTGTGTGTTTCGACTCGGCTATGATGATGCACGGCCGGCTGACTAGCGAGGCTACAGATGTCTGAAAGTGAATGAAACGCATCTCTCTCGTCAGTTCCTCCCCGGGTCGTCGTCTCGGTATCACCGAGCGAGCGCTGTGGGCGAGTCGCAGTGTGTGTGTCTCGGCTCGGCTATTAACCTACAGCTCGCTGAGCTGGCTGGCTGGCCGGCTGGCTACGTTATGTTGATGTCCGCGAAACAGTTTATTGTGAATCTCCTTCTATGATTTGTTTGGTTTTCGTAATGAAGGCTTGTCAGGCCTGTTGCTTCCCTTAGTTCAATGAAATTTGTTTTCTCGTCTTCGCAAATGACGGCGTTTTTACGAGACTTGGTCCGAATCTCTTGTTTCATATTCTGTGATATTTTGCGATTTCTGATAGCACCAAACGAAACTCTTCCTCGGAGATTTTAGAGTCGGTGAGCGCGGTGGAAATACGATCGTCTATCGTGTTTAACTTCGCTTCGGCTAGAATTCTAATTTCGTCGTGTTTCAATGCTTTACGTTGCAGTCTGCGAGATATGAACTTAAGGGTCACTCCCATCAACCCTACCACTCCGGGTGTTATTTCGATGTCTAGCACCACGGGTGCGCCCACGATGGTGGATAATAACCCGATACCTGCTACGCCTAATCCCATGCTGACTGAAACCAGAGCGCTGTCAACACTGTCCACGGAATTGACGGCCCTGTGATATTTTTTCTGTAATGCCGACCACGTATCGCGTTCACGTTCTAGTTGTTGTTTGATCTCGCATATCTGTCGCAAACGAAACTCGTTTACGGTTTCCAGTGTTTTCGCTACTTCATCCACGACTGGGTACAGTCCCATCCTGTGTGTTTATATATATATATTTTTTATAAAATAATATTTAATTGGTTTTCCGTTAATGTCCGATCAGTGTATTTGAGCCTGATAAGGTTTAGATTATCGTACACGTAAATATTCGAGACATGAATCGAATTTTTTTCTATAACACGTACATACATCAAACTCCCGTTGTTCGTAATTTTGGAGACGTAACCACCGTTTTTAAAAGATATGCCGGGTGAGGTGAGGGTCATGTTGATCAACCAGTCGGGCTGTTTGAAGTCTGCTAGTGACACCCGCTCGTATATAGAGAATACTACACTCGGTCTCATTACATACGAATTATACGAAACGAGTGTCCTTCCTATGGTATCTGACCAAGCGAAAGCGAGGTCAGGTAACATAGGAAGGTCACGAGTTTCGTATAATTCGTATGTAATGAGACCGAGTGTGGTATTTTATTTATTACCCACGTCTTACATGCATTAAATTGACAAAATAGCGTAATTTTGTTATGTTTTTGGTTTCAAACCGAAACCGGTTTCATAAAGAGGTTGCGGAAGAGTTTTGTACTGTAGTACAATATTTGCATGACGTCACTGTAATGACGTCACTGCCTTGGTAACCGACGTCACGATGCATGTCAGTTGTCATCGCCTCGTACAGCCTCCTACAGTAAACTACTCCGTAGCACCTCGTTTCTTGGTTTGCAGTTGCAGTTATTCGGCTAACATCACTGGTGGAAACATTGCGTTTATGTTTTTCGACGGATATAATGTCTCAGTTCGACTCACAAATAAACAGCGACGACAATCTTTTAAGTGCAGAACGTACAAGGTGTTTTCCTCGCCGGGCAGATCGATTCCCCGCATGTCCTCGAGATGGGCTAGCGTTACGTTGGGATGATGGTTGTCCATCGGTTGTTTTATACAAAATTACGAAATGGTTTTCAATTGGTTTATCGGATAATTCCTCGGACGTGCACTTTAAACCCATGAGTATGTTGTTGAGTAGGAAAATTTCGGTGAGCGATATTGTGTCTTCCACGGTCACGGTGACTCCCTGCACACTGGTGTAGGCGTTAACGTTCACCCGCACGTAAATGGAGCAAACTTGGTATTGTTGTTGTTTGGCCCAGCGGAGTTTGATCCCTTTCACGATTTCGACGACGTCACGCGCCGAGGTAGACTTGGATGTACAGCGTGGATTTCGCTGGCAGATTTTCCAGGATGTCTACCACGCTGTCGAATTCCGACACCATGTGCAATCCCACGTTTTGCGTCCCGGGTCTGCTCGACAGCATGTGGGCTACTCTTTGCCTCAACGTGCTGACGATCACGCTGCGTCTTTGCGTAGGGACGTAAGCCACGAGAAGCGTTACGTTTCGTCAGGTAGTGATCTTTGTTGTCCGTGAAAACGTGGGGAGAGTCGAGCGTGATGTTGAGATTCCAGTCGATTTGGGATGGCACTAATACCCATTTGTTGTCGTCGTTGAAGATGAGAGTGTACTGCGTGTTTCTGGAGACGGCCGTGGTCTCGACGTCGTCCAGGTGGAACAGCCTGCTGCGGAACGCTGGGGTTATCGTCCATTCGTCCTCGTCGTTGCAGATCAGGTCATGTCGCGTGTTGATGACCGCTCCTTCGGTATCGACGAAATCGCCTAGGTCGTTGTTCTTACCACCACCACCAGCGGTAGTAGAGGGCGGCAGTTTGACGCGTTTGTAAGTGTTGTTTTTCAGTTGCAAGGCGTACAGTTTGCCGTTGACTCCGGGTTCGTCGAATCCGCGCGTGTCCCCGAGGTCGGAGATCGCTATGTTGGCGCATTTTCTAACGCGTGGTCCTGGACCTTGAGACTCCGTCATTGTTGCATGTGCAGCTTACGGGATCGTGTCTAATGTCTAAAACCGATATTTTCAATTCCGTGATGTTGCCTCGGATTAATTTCTTGTACTGCCACGACGAAAATGATTCGGTTCTGCCGTCGTTGTACTTTTCCGTTTTAACTCAGCAGTGTGGAGGGTCGTTCACCTTGAACGTTGTCGGTCGTGCTCAGCTGATCGAGATGAATGCACAGTTCGCGATACGGAACGAGATCGGGTAATTTCGTGCCGGTCCCGATGGTTTCCGGTTGTATGTCGTTCGACGTAAACCCGAGCGTTTTAGCCAACCGCCGACTGAGTCTCAAGTCGTTTTTTCCGTTGTTTTCTAACATGACCGTGCCGTTCGAGTCGTTCATTTTGAGTTCGGCTCCCACGTGTTTGAAGATATCTTCGTTGAGTAGTAGTAGCCGTAGCCGTCTGTTATTTGGTTGCGGACGTTATTGACGAACAGCCTGTTGTTTCTGCCGTTGATGTTGGTCCATCGCGGGTAGTAGGTGATGTCGCAGAGCGCGATTTCGAGCTGACCAGACGTGCTATCGATCGCGTGCAGCAGTTGAACGGACTTGCCGCTCGTGATTCCCGGAAGCGTCACGTACATATTGAAAAAGTAGATATGTATACAAATATATAACAAACCGGGACTCCGAAATGAAACACGCCAAACTCCTGTTGAAAACCGACCAGCCCGTTGCGTATAAAGTCTGCTAGCTTAAGCACCTGGTCCCGTAGCCCCATTGTGTATACTACTAGTCCATGTGATGTTTTTAAAAGTCAATGGAACCGGTGGTCAGGTTGTCTGTGTGCAGGATCCGCTTTTTGATTTGCCATGATTTGTTTTTGCTATTTCCGGACTCACAAGCGTTTTATGTTTAAGGGTTGCATCACCGTAAGCTCTCCTCCCAGGATTCAGCAAACACGCATGGTGTCAGAGTAAAATACTGGTCATGTCACTGTTGGACATCAACGCATTATCATTATAATGTGGATTTAAGCTTTTATGGTCAACAGGCCGCAGTCTGTTTCTGTAAACGGCACTTGCTCTTCAGTTATCTGCACACAAATCTGTATACAAATGACTGCCCGTGTAAATACATTAACTGTCTTACTATTAAATTCGCTGATGATGCAGCTCTAGCAACTTCCATACAGTTTCAGAGACTGAAGATGGCAGCAAGACTAACGCTATCCTCAAGTGAAACATTCTGTACACAAGGTAATTATAATTTAAGTTTACTAAATGACCACACATAGAAGTTTTACATTGTCTTACAACTGAAATATCCTAACTGTACCTTCTGTATATAACATGAAAACTGAGAAGCAACAGTTGTACAACACACACAAGGTCCCATTATATGTCTTCGTAGTTTTTAAAGTCGTGCTGGCACTTAAGCTCTGGGGGATAAGTCTGCTTCCATGAACCCATTCTTATAACTGAAATCCATTTTATATATCCTTGATTTCATTCAATTTATATTATGGAAAATACTCTTGACCCAGTCGCTAACTAGCTTCGGTTTGAGACCCATTGGTCTCGTCTTATGAATACATCCTCAAGCACGATACCATAGTAATACGAGAGGTGCAGATGGACGTGTCTGTTCCAGATCGACGCCATGGTAATATTTGGTGAGTGAGTTTAGTTTTACGAAGCACTCAGCAATATTCCAGCTATGGCGGCGGTCTGTAAATAATCGAGTCTGAACAAGACAATCCAGTGATCAACAGCATGAGCATCGAATTACTCAAAGTTGGAACCGATGGCATGTGTCAAACAAGTTAGCGAGCCTGACCACCCGATCCTGTTAATCGCCTCTTACGACAAGCATAGGTTACTGAAGATCAATTCTAACCCGGGTAATAGTTGGGATTCATGGTATATATACATGTCATTGCTGTATAGCACTTGATAGAGAATCCTCATTTTGATTATGTTGACAAACAACTATACGACCATATACATGTGCGAGTGACTGTTCAGATTATGTGTGTATGTACACCGCAGATTTTGGTGTATTAATGAAACTACATTCTCTTTCTTTACAGGCCTATATGGCGAAAAGAAAGACTCATCTTTCTACACGATTAAGTCATATTAGAGCGATTAAACGGTAATGACATCAACGTGTCTCTGTTTGCTGTGTAATGTGTAGACACCAGAAACATGTTGAAGAATGTTAAACCGGTGTTACACAAAATACGTGCATGTATCGTCACGCATAGAACTGTCCTCTAACTGAAATGACGACCTTTTATACCATGATGAACACAGTTACCGACTGCATTACATACCGCACTAGAGGGTCGACAACAAATCGAATTCACCAACGACAGACGACCAAGATATCCCAAAATATTTCCCCTATATCATCTCAAAATACCAAAACGTGCATTTAAATATACATGAAGCGATGACATGTTTTATGAAGGCGTCCGATGCGGGACTGACTAGGTTCATTTAATGTTGGGTATGTCCTAGAGCCCTACGTTACAGCCCTGGACGTGCCGTCTGATGACACCTGACATCCTTACCATGTCATACTGCTGAGAGGTTAACCTCTTTAGTCATGTGGAAAAGCTGTCGAACTTCGGCAGGTGCGGGGTTCGAATCTCATGACGGGACTGGAAAATTTTAAGACCCCACGAAATGTGGCTTGAGGGCCAGTATGATTCGCCGAGGTCAGGGTCAAGGTCAATATCACCAGAACACATCTGTGTTGATCATGAAAAACCGTTACAGCTCACAGTGTTTGTCGTGAATCATACATAGCTGTGCCTGTAAGAGAGAAGTAAGTTGAAGATATATTTCATTATGTTTAAATGAACTATAACCCATACAATAATACTTCCAACAGAGAAAAGTGAAAAAATCAAGCAGTTATTTAGATTGTGACTAGAAATGAATCAACTTAATACAGAAACAAACAACCCTTCTATCTCCTTATGCGACTGACTGAGAGCAGAACGTGGCGAAAACTAATCTAAATCAGGCCTTAACACGAGAATAGGTCAATAAATATACCAATATATACAGGTGGACAAGCTTCACTGAGGGCGGTTAGGCTGAAGGCTTTGTCGTATGAAGGGACGTAATTCACTGTGAAGGGTTGCGTTCCTTGCATATGCCAAACAAACACGATCAAATGTCTCAAAACCGTATTTTTCGGTCTTTCCTCCCTTTAAATACTATACAAATAGGCGTTCAAATCAGCCTACTAGCTCACGCTATGGTGTTAAGCGATATGTGCACTGTCGTAAGCTTTACTGACGCTCCCCTTTATGGAACATATGTGCACATGAATTAAGATATCAGGATTTCATTTGGACCAGTTTGGGGAATGTTTGTAAGCACTAAATAAGATGCACCCGGCAGTCATAAACATATGATAAGAAAGAGTGCAAAGGACGGACATATATTTATGAACAACTTATCTCACACCTAAAATCAGAATGAACACATATTCTTCAATCTGCGAAAATGCGGTCATATATACTACTCAAAGTTTGATAAGGATCATATAGTTCTTACATTATAAAATCAATATATGAATTGATATGACACGCAAATTTCATCACAATGTTGGACTGACCCCTCTTGAGCCTCAAAACACAGGTTAGGTAGGGAAATGCATGCTGCAATGATCATGAGTAGCACGTGAAGCATGGTACCCACATTTTTCACATTTCTGAGTGCTTGTCGTTGATTTGAATTTGGGCATTGTCTTTACATCTGACATCGTTTAAGTCACTGTTACTCTATGAAAATGCCTCCACAACGTCAAAGACGTCGTTTGACTGTTGAAGAATTGGCCAGATGCATAGGAATGCTCGAAAATGGTGCAAGACAACGTCACGTTGCAGAGCTATTGGGTGTCAGTCAGAGCGTTGTTTGCAGAGCTTGGAACCGGTATCAAGCTCATGGTTCAGCTTCTCATCGACATGGAGGCGGCAGAGAAAGGTCCACCACGCAGCAAGATGACCGTTTTCTCTTGATTTCAAGATTTTCGTCATCGGTTTGCAACGGCGACTGCGCTTAGAAATGATCTTCTGAATGCAACTGGAGTTAACATTTCCACGCAAACTGTGCGTAATCGTCTTCATGAAGCTGGTCTTCGTTCCCGGAGAGCCTGTATTCGCATCCCTCTTACTCAGCGACACAGACAAGATCGTTTGAATTGGGCCAGGGCTCATGAATTGGAGGGTTGTTGATTGGGCCCCTGTACTTTTCACAGACGAGTCGAGGTTTTGTGTTGACTTCACAGATCGTCGTGCACGAGTGTGGAGAAGGGCAGGAGAACGATATCAGGACGCTAATGTTGCTGAACACGACAGATATGGTGGTGGGTCGTTGATGATTTGGGGAGGAATCAGTCGAGCTGGACGAACTGATCTCCATGTCCTAAGGCGAGGCACGATGACCGGAGCGCGCTACAGGGATGAAGTCCTGGATGTGTACGTGAGACCATATGCTGGTGCTGTTGGTCCTGACTTCATCCTCATGGACGATAATGCACGTCCACATCGTGCTAGGGTGGTGGACGAGTACCTGGAACGTGAGACAATTGTTCGTATGGACTGGCCAGCTCGTTCTCCAGACCTCAACCCTATCGAGCATGTCTGGAATATGCTTCAGGTAGCGATTTCACGTCGTCCTGTACAACCAACCACCCTCCAGGAACTTGAAAATGTTCTGATCCAAGAATGGAACAATCTCTATCTTGCGTCCATTCAAAACCTCGTTGGAAGCATGAGACGACGTTGCCAAGCTGTCATTGGAGCTAACGGAGGCCATACCCGCTATTGACACTTGTTTGTGCAGTGTGAAATGGAATGTGCAGAGTTTAAACAATTTCGTGATCATGAAATTACCATGCTTTTTATGGTACTCTCCCTTTACCTTAGGAGTACGCGATGAAATGTCATGTTTGCCAAATTTTTCTGTCACAATTTCTTGAAGTAAACATTTCTGAACATCAATCACTCTGTGTTGGTTGTCATTCACCTTTGTTGAAAGTTTTACAAGTGCTGAAAAATATGATCCTTATCAAACTTTGAGTAGTATAACGTACCACCAAGATATGGACATCTCATGGTCAGTGATGTAGAGCAGATGAAGGGGACGTTTCCTGAAGTGTGCTCAGCGGAACCACCTTATACCGCGGCCATCTGCAATCTCTGGGACAAAGCCCACACCTCAGCTATGGCCAGTCGCTGCAAGATATGGGGGCAGGTAGGTCTGTGCAGTTTTACAAGGGTGGTGTATGTGTGAATTGTGCAACAAAGTTTGCTTGCACACTTTTAGATAGTTTATGGCACAAAACCTGTAATATGTCTGTCGCTGGCCGGACATATGCTCACCATTATTATGTGTGGAGAATGTTCATCCTAAAGGGGGAAGATGTAGGGATGTCATGGTCTGTAGCGGAGTATATTCTTACTCCTTGAGCAGGAGAATTAAAGCAAGGAAGCGGGCTTATATATGTACATGTGAAAACAACCAAAGTGATAACATAACAAAGGTTTCCACTGAGAAGCCAGTAGTTAAATGGCGCTGTTAGATCATGGCAATGGACAAATGGAAGACATTAACATTATTACCCAGTAATAATATATTCCAAAATGTTGTGTTCCTCATAACTTAGTAGAGATCCTCGTTTATATGTATCGCATTCAACGATTTTGATAGTACCGCTAATTTTTTAAACGTTGGTTTTAGTCCGTATTTAAAAAAGGTGACAAATATCAAACACGTATCGCTCACTGGAAACATTGATAAACTTGACATCCTATTTCGATTTTTTTCGTTGCTGTTTCAATGTAGACTTGGCTTGTTGCGCTGTCAGTATATACTACCAGTTTATGTACAAATGTTTCATAATACTAAAATACACCACGTCCCGACCAAACTGAAAGCGCGATAATGAAGGAGTGTTATATTACTGAAGATAAGGTTTTGATTGACAGGGTTTATATAATGTATTATTTAGTGAGTCAGCGAGTGAGTGTGGTTTTACGCCGCTTTTAGCAATATTTCAGCACTATCACAACAGGGAACACTAGTAATGTGTTATTTAAGGTATGGTATAACTGTGTATGGTGAATACAAGATGAGAGCGTATGTACATGTGTATAACTGTATCATCAATGCCTCCATCACACAGACACTTGTCTAGCGCTGAACAAACAAAGCCATATATATATACATCTTGAGATCCACTGTGTCAAGTGAAGACAAGAAACACTTTCACTACACCGGAATAAGCCATTAATGACCGGATCCCCCAACTCTGCGTGCTGTGGACTGTGTGATACTGAAGCAACTACTGGCCTCCTCCCTGGACACTTCAAGTAGCATCTCAGGACAACACACACATAGCGATAACTAAAAACATCACAACAGATAAAATTACAAGATTATTACCGGTGCGTGTCCGCATGATATTCAGGATGTTATGAAGCCGAGGACGGGACTAATATGTAACAGCAGGGATACACCACTGTGCATAATACTGTATGTAATATATTTTGTGCATGTCTGTTTGTGTGAGAACAGAAACTACTTTGTAAATTCTACTAAATGATCATTCCCCGTAACACTTGTTTAACATTACTTTTGACTTTAAAATGCCTACAACAAAGGTGTAAGTCATCTATTGTGGGTCTATCTTATGTTGTAGTCCAAATCCAGTGTCTGGTATCCCAGTTTTCGTTTGGGAACACCATTCTCACCAAGCCAGACGCCCTCTTTCCCACACCACACACGCAAGACAAGCACACAAGCACGCACACACACACACACAAACATGCACGCACGTACACACACAAGCTTGCACGCACGTACACACCATATATTCTCACACACGCACCTTTCGTTTCACAGGGGAGAGTTGTCTCCCTTGTTTTCAACACATCAGTTGTTAATCACTTGTTGCTGGAAGTTGCAGGTTGTCGTTATCGGAGTGCTATGCTGCAGTTTCAAACAGGCTGCATGTAAGTACATTTTGATCATTCTGCTTAACATTATCAATAGACGATCACAGGCTTTAGCATTTGCGTTTGAAAATAATTATGTCGATTGTCTTATAGAGATATGTAATATACGCACAATTCTGTATAACTTATTCAGGCAAAGTAGACCTCCCGGTCTCCGAATCAGCCAAGGTCAGTAGAGATGGTTTCAAAGGAACAGGTCAGGACGATATCTTTACAAAGGCCCTGAGCAAGTCATCGTTCAGCGGCCATGGAGCCATCAAGGAAAGGCCAAAAGGTACATTAGATTCAAGTGCAATCAAGTCCTGGATTGCCATGATGGAAGAAGGTACCGTTACCAGACACAGAAGGTCAGCGGTAGCGGTTGGCCTGTTCAGGAGGAGGTTCGAGGGAAGGATGAAGGCGAAGGAAGCTGCTAAACGAGCCGGGAATCCCCAGAGATACAGAGGAGCCGCGGTGATACTGGCTGCAGCTAGGAGACAAGTTGCTATAGGCAAGCGGAGGTATCTGGCATCGTGGGAGCGGAAGAGAAAGCTCGAACACGAACGGAGGGTGAGGAGATATAACTGTAACGTCGGAGTAAATTCCTGGCTTGTACTTTAACAGTAAACGTAGAAAGTTTATAATTGCGTCTTTAAACACGGCATATAACTAAAATTCTACTCGTTTCTGATAGTCTGAAACACAGCATTAGATTTGCATGATCGGACTGACCTGGCTGAAACGTGAAACAACCTACTCGTTATACCGATATGAATTCATTGGAATGTGACGTTGTTATAAACACTGGTGTTGAGTCCATGTGTGTGTGCGTGCGCGCGTATGTGTGCATGTGCGCGTGCGCGTGTGTTATTTAGTTATTGGCATACCAATATATTGTTGATGTACAATCGATAGGGCAATATTGTCAGTTTAACAGTTTAGAGTCAATGCGAGTTGTCATGCTCATTCTGAACACTACGTATTTGTTTTAAGATCTCAGAAGATGATGAAGAAGATAACAACGCATTTCAAGAAGGACATAGAGAATCTTCCGGACAAGGTGAAGTCGGGGACGTTGACGATTCTGAAAATTCGATATATAATGAGAGAGACAGACAACCCAAAGACCAGAACACATATCAACCAGAGAAGACAGATCCTCAACTTGGTGTGAGCACAGCTGTTCCGGTAGGGGGAGACACACGGAAACTAGCAGCCAATGAGGTTAATACCACTGATGCTCATCAGGGTGTCTCCCCGGCGGTACAGCAGGGTGTACATCGACAGGTGGAAGGCAATGGAGAGTCGGAAGAGCGGGAAAGAGAGGAGAACGAGAAACGGGAGCTAGCAAAAGAAAAACGACGGTTAGAGGAAGAAAGGCGACGTCGATTAGACGAAGAAAGAAGGCGACAGTTAGATGAAGAAAGGAGAAGGCAATTAGACGAAGAAAGAAGGCGACAGTTAGATGAAGAAAGGAGAAGGCAATTAGACGAAGAAAGAAGGCGACAGTTAGATGAAGAAAGGAGAAGACAAGAAGAAAGGACGCGTCAGCTAGAAAGAATCGGCACAGTCCAGGTTGATGTAGACGGAAGACGTAGAGCTGAAGAAATTCGAAAACAGTCACCAGGGAGCAGAGGACAGTTTGAAGCAAAAAGAAGACAGTTAGAAAAGCAGAGAGGACAGAATGTGGAGGTTCTGAGGATACTTCGACTTGAGGAAGAGGCACAACGCCAAAAACTGATGAAAGAAAAGGAAGACTATTATGATAAGCAAAGGAGCAATGAGAACATGAGAGAACACAGCAGGGAAGTGCCACAAGGAGAGAACCTCGAGAGGTCTGAGAATAACACAAACACTGAACAAAGCACTGTTTCCATAACCAGTCCAACATCTCCCACCACAGAAAGATCCCAAAGCCAGCAACGATCCGAATATGAAAAGCTGATTAGAAGCCGTAAGTGGTGTTTTATGTATCATCAACATTTATTCAATGCATTGCCCGTTTCTGTGTGATCATTTACAGTTAACCCGTGAAGATCCGGGTTAGATTTGATCTTCAGTAACCCATGCGTGTAAGAGGCGACTAAAGGGATCGGGTGGTCAGGTTTGCTATCTTGGTTGATACATGTCATCGTATCCCAACTGCGTAGATCATGCTGTTGATAACTGGATTGTCTGGCCCAGACACAATTATTTACAAAACGCCGCCACATGGCTGGAATGTTGCTAAGTGCGGCGTAAAGCTAAACTCACTCACTCACTACAAAAACAGATAGAAGTGTCATTGTTAGTGCGTATCGAACACACTGCCACACATGCGGAATGTTAACGTGTGGTTTATATGTATATCATGGTGCAGATTCATGTGGGGTACTGTATGTTAACGTGTGGTTTGTATGTATATCATGGTGCAGATTCATGTAAGCTACTGTCTCTTGGTTGCAGGTTGCACGGACTGTAAAGTCGGAAACCAGACCTTCCGTGGGCACTCCAGATTTTCATATGAAGAGGACTGTCACAAGTACCAGTGTATCTGCCACTGTGATGGGACCCATGACTGCCCAGCCCAGTACAAAGTGAAAGTCTGTGATCAAGGTATGCAGGAGAGGGACAGGCCTGTATGCAACAGCTGCACTGTTGAAGGAGAAATCATCGAAGGGAATGACAGGTTTGAACTGCAAGATGGCTGCACTTTGTTTAGAGACTGCAAATGTTTCTGTAATGGCACGTCACATTGTTCACCTGACCAAACAGAGAATACCTGTGTCTCAGAAAGCAAAACAGGACCAGAGGCATCCCAAGTCGATTCCAAGCCAAATCAGGTCTGTCAGAAGTGTGTCATCGAAGGCATAGAACACCCCGCGGAATCCAGGTTCCAGTACACCAGGGACTGCATCACCACCGACTGCAGCTGCAGTTGCAACGGCACCATAGAATGTGATCAGTCAACTGCAGTGAACAGATGCGACTCTGCGCAGCAAACTCCCCAGCCCCAACTAGAAATACAGGTAAACAACCAACAGGTGAAGATGCAGACGTGCCAGCAGTGCCTGGTGGCAGGTAGACTGATTGACGGAAACTCACAGTTCAACGCCAAGGTGGGGTGTTACATTGACACATGCTTCTGTTTGTGCAACGGCAGGTACTCATGCATTCGGAACTGGGCACGTAATATTTGTAATGATGACACAGGGTTCGATGGTGGGTTAGTTGATCATCGAGGGGTCTGCCGGGGCTGTTTCTTACAGGGAGTGCACTACCCTGGAAATGCAACGTTCAAGTTCACCACTGGCTGTACAGCACTCGACTGTGCCTGTACTTGTAGTGGCACTGTAGAGTGTTACGAAGAAAGTGCTGTAAACATATGTGCCACTCGTCCACCTACCGTCCAGCCACTGTTTGAGGTATTTACCACCCAGACTGTGAGGACACCTGGACCCCGGGAGTGCAAGAAGTGTTTAATTAATGGAACACTGTACGATGGGAATACTCAGTTTGACTTACAGAATAGATGCCACACCGACAGATGCATATGTTCATGCAATGGTAACCATACCTGTAGACGGTACCAGGCACGTGGTTGTAATGAGACTGAAACCTCACCAAAGAAAGACTCAGAGCCATGCCAGGAGTGCCTTATTCAGGGAAGGAGGTATCCGGGAAACTCGACGTTCAAGACCACAAGCCAGTGTATTGCCAAGGACTGCCGATGTTCATGTAGTGGATCTGTTGAATGTGATGACAGAACGGCTGTAAATATATGCCAGACTACATCTGTTCAACCTTTGCCAACCACACTACAGCCGACACCGCAGGAAGCGTCGTGTAAGACGTGCGTTGTGGATGGAATGGATTATGCCGGAGGATCGAAATTTAAAATCAAAAGAGGATGCAAAGTGTACCCATGTCACTGTCCCTGTGATGGCAGATGGGGATGTCGAACAGACGCTGCTGTGGACATCTGTAACAAACCTTCCAGCGAGCCTACAGTGAGTCAGGGAACGTGCAAGAGATGTGTCGTTCAGGGTAGGAAATATCCTGGAAACTCACAGTTCAAACTACGAAAAGGCTGTGTTTCTTTCAGATGCACCTGTGCGTGTGATGGAAGCTGGAACTGTCCCCCTGAACAGGCAAGGAACTACTGCCCCGGTTCAACGCAGTCTACGGAGACCACAACAGCTGCAACTCTCTCCCCGACAGAACCCTTGTCAGAGAAACATTCTGAGACAAAATAATGGTCTCTTTGGGTCACGTTATGACTGATAATTGCTCTTTGCCAGTCAAGAACAAATGTGTCTGTTACCCCACTATTGTATATAACCATTAAATGCCAGTAAGGATGCTATGCGAATATTAAAGCTTTAGTTTGCAATTCTTTCTCTTGAATAAATATTTGTTCATCTGAAATTTCATATTGTTTTCTTAAACAGCACTAGAGAGTCTTGTAAACAGGTTAGATATATTTTAGATCTGTGTCTAGTAAATCACATCCAGAAAATACCACCTTTCGTACAATCGACTCTGCTTTTGGCAGAGATATCTTCTGAGTGTGGAAAGGGTTTTGTCGCTTCTAGTGGAAACATGGAACTCCGAGGGTCCTTCTCGGGAGCATTGTTTCAATGCTAAAGGGTGGTAAATCATAAATATATCAGCCCTTGTGGATTTGAAGTCCAAATTTTGAACACAGGGATCTGATAGCATAATTTTGTGGGAAATTCTCAGTCCAAGATAAATTGTCATCTTAAATCCTTCCACTGTGTAGAAAACGAGGAGGACATTTCCAGATGACAGTCTGATACTTGTCAACCAGCCTTATCCAGTCTGAACAGGGTACAGATGATTTGTCGGCCTATCCTTTTCTCGTTGTAGGTTTCTTCAATGAGGGTTTTCCTAACCCAACACAGACACTTTTCTTTCACATTCGTTGATTTTTCTATTTTATTGCCATGAGTAAATCAAAATCCGTTTATGGTGTTCAAACACTCATTCCTTCATCCACTTATAAGTAACACATTTTCAGTCAATGACTGTGTAATGGTCAATGAGACTTGAGGTAACTGTTAGCTACATTGTGCTGTGCTGAATCACGGTACACATTTGAACCATGATAATGCACACACACATTATCAGAAATTGCAGCCGCTTAGTCTCGCGGGGCACTTGTGACACAGTACGTTTGGCACCTGCAATTCGTTGTCCAGGGTTGCCTTCCTTTCGCCTTACAGGATTGTGGTTTAGCATCCTGTTTTGTTTCTGTTTTTCTTAGCACCCTATCGAAGCTCATGGATGTACTTTAATAACACCTCTCACCAGGGTCACTTCAGACTCTCCTCCCCCTTCAGACGTACCTTGATATAACTGGAATGTTGTTACAAGGGGAGTTAAATCCTACTCACTCAGTCTATTTTGATCGGTTTCTTTTGTTGTAACCGTAGCCTTATCCATCTGTCCTTTCCCATAACTGTTTGTTGAACATAACACTTTTTGAGAACATTCAATACAAACGTCTGTACCCAAGGTGAATATCCGGTTTAGAATTGATCTTCAGCAACCCATGCTTGTCGTAAGAGGCAACTAACGGGATCAGGTAGTCAGGCTCGCTGACTTGGTCAACACATATCCAAATTGCGCAGGTCGATACGCATGCTGTTGATCACTTGATTGTCTGGTCCAGACTTGCTTATTTTCAGACCACCGCCATATAGCTGGAATATTGTTGAGTGCAGCGTTAAACAACTACCCAACTAACCACCTTCTGTTAGTCCTGCCAATGGCAGCGTCTCTCTTGGTCATGTCTCTGATACAGGTGTGAGAGTTCTTGTTGAGAGTTCTATGGAAACTTGCTGATAATCCTGGATTATATAACATGTGATGAGTTTCCAGGGGGCATTTGGTAACACTTAATCTTTATCTCCTATATCATTGACACACATGTACAATAACCCATACACTAGGCTTTTGGATTGATAGGTATTTTTCAATATTTACAGTATCTATTCTTACACCATTCATTGACAGTAAAATGGTGTAGAGAGATGAGGTGTGCTGGTGTGTTTGGAAGGGTTGTGTGTGCATGATCTTGACTGGTGTGAAGAGGTGGGTGTGGTGAGGTAGGGTGTGGTGTGGTGAGGTAGGGTGTTGAGGTGTGTGTGGAAGGGTTCTGTGTGTTTGGTCTTGAGTGGTGTGGGTGTGGTGTGGTGTGGTGAGGTAGGGTGTGGTGGTGTGTGTAGAGGGGTTCTGTTAGTCTGTCTCACAGTCCCTGAACCACATTACTTTCCCTACTGCTAAGCCCTCTCTGCAGTGCTAAAGCCCTAAATAAAGCAAGTCTAGATTTCCTCAGGTTCTGAATCTCTGGTCTCCCTAGGGCTCCTTTTCAACATAAATGGGCTTGTTTGTTACTATCAAAATATTATATATATTCAGAGACTAAGCCTTAGTCTAGGGTTCTGTGTGTGGGGTCTTGAGTGGTGTGGTGAGGTGGGTGTGGTGAGGTAGGGTGTGGTGTGGTGAGGTAGGGTGTGGAGGTGTGTGTGGAAGGGTTCTGTGTGTGGGGTCTTGAGTGGTGTGAGAGGTGGGTGTGGTGGGGTGAGAAAGGTGTGGTGAGGTGAGAAGGGTGTGAGGTGGTGAGAAGGATGTATACCCGACCTGTTTGAAGCATACTGATACTTTATGTTGATTGATTCAGCCATGTGATTGAAGAATTGGAATACTGATGGTAAAGATATAACAACACTGTGACTCATATATAGTGATATATATTCAACAAAGTTACACAGTTACTAAATGCAGATTGACCAGAACTGTCAGTAGTAACTCATGTCATCATCTTGCACTGAGAAAACAACAAAAACAAGACATTTATAAATTTGACTGGTAGAAAATTTCATGATATATTGTCTCTTCTCACAGTTGAAAGTTTATATCTATTTCCTGTATACTGACATTACAGAATGAACAGATCAAGAACAAATTTTACAATGAATTTCACAAACTTTACATTAACTTTAAACAACAATATGTGGTCAGAATGTTTGATTCTGGTAATACTATAGTTTCACTGTGACATCATTAGGTACAACTGAAAGTTCAGTTTGCTAAGTATACATTATATTCCTTCATATTTTTCAGTTATTAGTTTGAAAAAATACATTGTAATGCTATTTGCCAATAATATACTCCTATTATTCAATTAAAAACAGATCTACTGCTTGTGAAATATGTAACACTACATTCTACAAGATTCTCTAAGAGAGAAAATAGAAACTTTAATGAAACAGATCAACAATACATTAAATGCGGAAAAAATAAGACCAATAAAATTCCACATGTTTTTCTTCATTTGATATATTCTTCTAAATCAAATTCTCAAAATTCAGGTTCTTTCACGAAGTTCATTTGAGATAATGATCAATATTATAATCAGCCCTATGCTGCAAGGGACAACTCGATAGTGCAAGGGTCAACTCTATGCTTCAAGGGTCAACTCTGTGCTTCAAGGGTCAACTCTATGCTTCAAGGGTCAACTCCATGCTGCCAAGTTGTAAAGTTTCAAGCAGTGAGTGGGGAGTCCCAGGACCGATGAAAGTCATCCGAGGCATGAGACAGCTCTTCCCGATATGTCATAAGATCCTGCCATTTGTCACGTGACCTGATGAGCTGATTGTTCTTGTGAGCCTCATAGTGGAACTCGGGAGTCTTCATCTCGTACCTAGGAGGAAGAAATAAAACAATGGATCCACTTCTGTGGTTAGGAAAGGCAACGGTCTCTATCATCATGATCATAAGTTCTGTTAAACTCTATAACTTAGCAGCCCTTGAGTTTGTTCGCAGTGCCACTCAGATTTTTTGGGAAATAATAAAGACAAATTGACAGATCTGAAACTTTAAAAAAATATATGACAGAACTCCTTCTACTTCTTTCAGAGTACCTCTGCATCAATTGTGTTGCTCAACTTTCCAGCGTAGGCACCTGATTGGATAAAAAGCCAGCCAAAGGAAGGTAATTAAATCATTGCCCCAAGCCGTGGATGCATCCAGGGTATAGTGGAGAGTTATCGTAACATATACCCTGGAGATTATCGAGGATGATTCCCACCCAGCATCTCTAAACATTCCTTACCAGGATCAACCACCTGTATTACCACCAATATCCCCGATCAGCATCCCAACACATCCTGACTAACACCTACCAACAAGTTCAGTTTCCATCATCATACCCCCACCAGCTCACCAGGACATGGACTCACATCATATGAATTATTATCAAGCCATACAATCTGCACTTGTGGTATGGACATGCTTACAACTGACCTGTTACATTATCTGAAACGACTCAAGTATGCTCATTAAGAAGGACACATGCCATCTTAAGTTATCCAGTGCATTTCATCTCCATAGTAGTACAATGAATACCCTGGAGACATTACCGCCATTGCTTCATGACAGCACAACCTGCACCTCTCTTATCACAGAATTTCTCTTGCTTCCTAGTGTTCCATATAATCATGTTACACTGCTACTCTGAGGCCTATAAAATTAAACATATTCAGTACCTAAAGATACCTTACCATTTCTGCTTGGGTCCTCGTATTCTCTCCAACTCTTCCTGTCTCTTCAGTTCCAGCAACCGGTCCTCCTCCATCCTCAGTCTCTCCATCCGCAGCCGGGCCAGCTCAGCCTGATATGGCGTGACGGTTATTAACTTCACTGCTGATGCTGAGGTGACAAAAAACACATAAGTGTCTCTTGTATTACAGTGCCAAAGACACAGTTACATTCATTATGATAATGGTTAATGTTCAAGAGCCTGCAGTGCACACTTAAGGGCAACACTTGTTCAATCCCTGACATCTGCAGGAATACCTGTCTGAATAAATGTACTGCAGAGTGAGTGAGTGAGTGAGTGAGTGTGTGTGTGTGGGGATGTGTGTGTGTGTGTGTGTGTGTGTGTGTGTGTGTGTGGGGGTTTGGGGTTGGGGTTGGTGGGGGGAGTGATAGCTAGCGCCTGAGCTTGGTTTTACACTGTTTTTAACAATATTCCAGCAATATCACGGTGGGAGACACCAGAAATGGGCTTCACTCATTGTACCCATTCAATGTACCATGCCGTCCACACAGTTTTCACTCTTTTTCATCAACTCAAAAAATATTGAAGCAAATTCTTAAATACCAGTTATTAACATGATAGATTTTAAACATTATAAAAAAAACCCAAAAAAACTGTACACAGGGACCACTCTTAATTATCCTTCATGTAGAGAGCATTGAAGAACTGCAAAACTCTTAAATGGTGTTTTACTATACCGTACATTTCCATAACTTGCTGAGGTTCCACTCTAGCTTACCAATAGATGGGGCCTCATTCGCCATGAAGTGCATATCATCTTGATTCTTGTATTCAGTGTTACCAAGAAGCTCATCAGCTCTTGCTGCCGACTTTGCCCGTTTAGATTTCTTCAGAATTCCAGTTTTGGACTGTGACTTCGATGGCCTAGACTTGACAAGTGTGGTGGATGAGAGAGGAGCCCCTGTCTGCCTGTCTGCTGCTTGTAGGTAATATGCTGCACCAAGTGTAACGGGGAAATATCGGGATGCAAGGGCACCTTCATCAGCTAGTGCCTTATAAGCCATTTCTCTCTGTACCTGGTTGTCTGATGCCATTTCCTGATCCACTAAAGCCCCAAGTGTTCCAGCTGTTTTATGTACAGGTGAAATGGACCTTGATGGCCGGAGGTATGTCTGAGACATATGGACAGGGCTTGTGTACCATTGTGATTCCTCCCTTGACCGTGGCCTGCCATCATAGGAATCTTCCAAATCTAAGTTTTGATGCATTAAACGAGCTAGCTCAGCCTCTGTAGCACTTGTATGTAAACTGCTGTGGAAATCTTTAGATTGAGATAAGGTTGATACTTCTGAATCTTTTCCAAGTAGGGTTTGTTTTAAATTACTACTTACTCTGTTAAGATTATGACTCATGCTTCTTAATGACTGTGATAATTTCTTGTTGTCATAATTGTCATGGTAACAGTCTGGGGAATATCTTCCCATTCCACTTGTTGTGGTAGTCAGTTGGCTGTTGCTAAGATATCCAGGTCTGGACCTGAAAAAAAGAACTGGAAATAGTTTTCTTCTGACTGTGTTTGGATATTTCTGTCAGTTGCATGTCAGACACTAGTAAAGTAGTAAACAGTTCTCCTTACTCTAACTCAATCCACACATTACTTGAAAAATCAACACGGTCAGTGAATATATTTTAGGATACATTTTGGTCCCAGCGAGCAATATAAATTCTTTGTTAGGGACCATTCATAATTTATGGCTAGGGGGGTGATGATGATTTTTATGGAGAAGCATGTACAATGTAAATGCCCCCCCAAAAAAAAAAATAAAATAATTATGTACAAAATAAGTGACCCCCCTGCATGACATGTACAAAATCAATGACCTCCCCCCATAACTTCTAAGCATAATTTTAAACATATTTGTATGAACAAAATTGATGACCCCCCGTAGCTCACCAGAACAAAATGGATGACCCCCCTTAAAATCATCATTTCTTTCCCTCTCTCCCCGCCGCCATAAGTTATGAATGGTCCCTTATAGCAGTTTGTAAATATTTAAAGTCAGTGAAGTTTGCATACAATAACACCATTGAGTGAATGAGTTTAACGCCACTTTGACCAGTTTTCTGGTCATAACAAGGTGTGTCGTCTTGATGAGGGAGGAAAGTCTGAACTGGCTGTCTGAACTTTCTCACTTTGGAAAAACCTGCATAGGAACTGGCAAGCTTAGAAACATACCCTCTCAATCATACATCTCTGGCAAGTCCAAGAGTGTAATCATCTCAGTTATTATAACAACCATCTCTGCTTATAACATCACATCATGATGAGCTAAGGGATCATGAGATATGATGGTGAGATCAGAAAAGTTGTTATCGTGTATCTGTTATCAGGTATTTGTCTGTCATATTTGAATTTCAAGCAAATGACCCCAAAAAAATATGTTGGTTTCCGGTAACCCGACCCTATCCTTAACACCCACACCCCACACCCCCGACCCTAAATCTTTTTTTAACCAAGTCAAAATCATGACTGGAGTGCATTTCAACTCATCATTTTCATCCAAATCGAGTATGATATTTTCATGTTTTTCAGTGTATGTAGGGCTAAAATGGATTGCATTGAATTGGCACAATGGGCTCTCACTGACAAAACCTGCAAATAAATAACATAAATAATGATTTGATATAGAAATCTATCAATGTTTCATCACATGACATTGTAACAACATGATACGGTATCCTTGAAGACATTCTCAGGTGCCTTGTGCTACTAGAAAAAAAGAGTAAAAAAATGAAGATAAAACCGACCCACCTACCCTATTTTTAAAAAGCATGTAATAGGAAGCAGACTTATATTTTTGGGGGCCTTATGATGTACCCATGTCACATATATGTCAATATTTTACTATCAGGCAGTCAGTTTAAAAAATATAAATAGGTTGCGTTTAATGCCACTTTTATCAGCATTCTAGTTATATTTGGAATATAATTGTAAAAATAATATATATAAATGTTCTCCTTTACTGTGCAGTTATGGGTAGTTTGCAGAGTTGTTTTGTCAAAGATTCAAGTTTGTTCTCAACATGGCAAAATGTATTCTTGTATACATGTATATTTCATGTGTTTTTCAAAATCATAAACAATATATAATGCCTAGTAGGTTATTAAGGCTAAAATAACATAAATAAACCAACACCCTATTACACTAAACCATTAACAATTTTGTTAGGTATATTTTCCATGCCTGAATGCTGCAGCCATTTAGTATTCTACTTTTCATTTCATAACAAATATTGCCATCAAGTATTTTTATATAAATGTATTATGATTATCTGTATCTACCTACCGCCTCTGTGGTGTAGTGGTTAGAGCGTCCGCCCGGAGAGCGGAAGGTCGCGGGTTCGATCCCCGACCGTGTCATACCAAAAAACGTTTAAATATGGTACTTGTTGGTCCATGCCTGGCGCTCGGCATTACTGGGTACAACAAGGACTGGTCGGCTTGGAGTCAGTATAATGTGTCTGAGTGGGGTATTCATGCTTCACTGCGGCACGGTATCTCATTGGGCTAGCACTATAAAACCAGCTTAAGTCTGGGCTAGTACAAGCAGCCGCACATTCACATACACACGCATGCACGTCGTCATATGAGCGAAATATTCTCAAGCACGACGTTAAACCCAATTTCACCTCACCTGTTTCTACCTTTACTGTTATGGTACTCATGGTAATGGGAAGAAATGGGAAAAGTTACTTTAAATGAATTACACCATGATGCTAATTATGCTAAGATAGTGGATTTCCAATACAGGACACTAGATAAAACAGAGTGAACATCCATCTGCATGTCATATATGAGGGCAGCACGTTAAAACAATGGTTAAGGGGGAGACAACTCCATGTGTCAGAACAAAAATATGTCACGCACACACGTAATTTATAGAAATGCTAGGAAAACAGAGATGACAATCAGATTTTTCAGATAACACTGAATGTTAGCAGTGGGATGTGACTTATGCACATATACAGTGATGTCATGTATTACAACAGGTCAACAACAAAATCTATGACATAATACCTGTACATCATCTATCTGTATACACCTCACTTTTGTACATATGACATTGTAATCTTGGGAACAACAAAAAAGAAGAAGAAGAAAAAAACTTCTCTATTTTCACATTAAAAACGTATAGAGTTGATCACCAAAAGAAACCCCCCAAAAACAAACAACTAAAAAACCCAACAAAATCTATTCAATTCCAGGGGTTTAGAAATCTCCTTCATGGGAATATGATGATCATCATTTATTTTTGTTGGCTGAAACAAATATAATTTGCTGATTCTAACATTAAAATTTCAAACAGACTCACAAATTTCTTTTTCTGATGTAGATAGAAATATACCACAATAATCACATTCAGGGCTCCAGATAAGGGCCGTATCGGCGTATGTACGGATATAAAATAAGCGCGATACGGTAGGAAATAATTTAGAAAACGTAGCAGATACGCACCACAGCAATGGTGTACGGTCTTAGAATCGCCTACAGACGTATTTATCTGAAAAAAGTATTGTTTTATTGTGTACTGACCTGTTTACACAAGAGTAGCAATGTTGTGGTGCATATATGAAACGAAACACAAGATTACTGATACTCAATTAAATTCCATTCAGTACTCTTATTGTTTTCCAGTACTCCTATATTGAAAAATAAGGAGTACGTACTCTCTGATCATGAAAAATTATCTGGAGCCCTGACATTTAGATGTTGTTTGTCTGTTTTTTAAAAACTATTATGCCAGAGAAAATTCTTGATGATTATCTGGCAATAACAAATATATTTTGAGCAATGGTCATGCAAGTACAGGAGTAAAGCACTTTGTACCATGAGGATATATGATTTTCAGGTCATCGTTGTTGGTGAAAATATCCAACGTACAATACTTTCATTGAAGCAAATGATGTTTTGCAAAATTTTCTCATTTACCCTATCTTGATAATAATTCAGAATTGTACTGGAAAGAAAATATACTGTCATGTAGGTGTATGACATAGCACAGTTGTTTTTATTGTAACTTGCCACTTAAAGTTTAATTTATGATAAGGAATTTTGACATTGACATAAAGAAAGAAAATGTCTCATAAAAAATTAGAATTGTTTTTCCTTATTTCTTTCCTTAACTTGGTGCTGTGAATACTGTGACTAGCCAAAGTCTTGTTCACACTTGTTTTGTTGTGACCGCCGTTCTGTCGACGCGGTTCATGGAGCCTAGAAACTGAAAATATTCATATGCAATGTGACTGGGAAAGAAGCATACCAGTACGAAGGAGATTTCCCACGGAGAACGAAATCAGGGTCGGGATTCATTGTCACTGAGTTTTCCTCAGGCCCAGCAAAGACGTATATACGTCTTTGGGCCCAGCTGTCACACTTTCAGAACAGAGAAGCCGACATTGTTTACGGAAGTTAGCTATGCTAGATACGACGCATGCGTATTATACAATTTCCTCTATCAATAACCGGAAGTGGATATTTGCCTAGCGTGCAGAGTTGCTAGTGGTGGTTGTCTTTGCTGGCGAGTGATCTAAGAGCGAAAGTAAAGAAAGACGAAAATGGCAGACCCCGAGAGATTTGACGGGATGCTTCTAGGCATGGCCTCACAATGTGAAGGCGGTGTTCAAGAGGTAAGATCACACTATGCTGCTCATTATGTGGTAAATTCACATATCAAGTCACGAAATCGTGCGACGCCGATGTGTAGAGTTAAGTTCTGGAAACATCTAGAAAAATACAGACGGAATAAACGCCTCCTGAAAGCTAAGATCATGAGACTACCAAGATCATTATGACAATCAACCGAAGGATCTAAACTAAAATGGTGTATTGACGTTGTCCCCGTCTTAGTCTGAAAAAAATGATGAGAGGACTGAACTATACGAACATTACAGTAAAGTTAAGTGCACAAAAACACGTGATATACAAGGCTTTACTTACATTGACACATACAGTGAAACATGCACCCCCTACCACCGAGCATACCTTAACATTCCTTAGCACTTGTATCCAAGACAGCTGTAGGCTGTTTAGAAGAAATTAAACAGCTTCAGCGTCTTAGATACATTTTTGTGCTACGTTCAGAATTCTGTTGTCAGCTAAGTAAGTGACCCTCTCTCCGGTAGTCACTTGCACACTGAACATGCTGAACGGGTCCATCTCTCTCTACTGTGTAGAGGTTGGTGTCAGGTAGGGTATGGGTCAACTAACTTTTGTAATTAAAAAATCTAAGGCAATTTTAGAAAGCTGTCCATTTTATCACAGAGGCTTGTAACACTAAAACCTGCTACAAAGTATATACTGTCACTGACAGGGTCTTAGTACTATATAAAAGGATATAATACTATTTACTAAGACCCCATCAGTGACAGTATATACCTTGATGGCAGTTTTAAGCGTTACAAGCCCCCGTGAGTCCGCTTATATGGCTCTCATATCCAGGCACATTGCCTGCTCATGGCACTACACACATTACTATCCCTGGTCATAGGACACTTATCATACTTTCCGATACTTTTTCAACTTCCTGGGATCATACAGCCATGCTGCCTGTTAGGCGCAATTAACTAAACACTCACATTGCCACTGGCCAGCACATCGTGGTGGGGTGTTAGCAAACTTTTCTTATGTTGATTGCAATTTACAAACTTTATCCTGCAAAAACTGAAAAAAGCCTGTTGTCTGCAAAAATATGTCAGTGGTCTAATGATGGAGTAGCTAACAACCTTTATGTGTTTCTCTCTTTGCAGTTGCTGGATGTGCTCTTCAATTTCTTGTCAAGGAAAACCGACTTCTATGTGGGTGGTGGAGAAGGAGCTGCAGAGAAGGTACCTCGATCATCAATTGCAGATCTCTTTGACATTATCACATGATTATTCATGTGTCTCTTGCGGTTAGGACTAGATTGCCAGCGGTAGCACACAAATTTCGCAGAGGTTGCTTCTTAGTAGGAATATAATGTGAATAAACTCTTTATTCACCCTTCAACATTCACTTTATTTGTAGCATCATGTTGGATGAGTTAAACAATTATGATGGCAAGCAATTTTGCTTGAGAATCTTTAAACCTGTGTCACGTTGTAGCATGACATAAGCTTAAACATGTATTAATGACTGTACCAAAGTTTGTTCAATTATTTTCATAAATAACACTTTTAGACACAATTTTGTGTGACATGCAAAATTTCCCTGTCAGTGAACAGGCAGTCACGAGAATGAGTGACCCCCTCTCAGGTAGTCACCTACACATTAGGGCCTCTGCTAATAAGTGGCTGCCATGACACCTTGTAGGTTTATGTTTACATTTCCAAATAAGTTAGTCCCAAGGTTACGTGTTCATTAGTTTCTCACTCTCACCCAGCACAATTTGAAAACTAATTTCCATCTACATTTGACTTCATTTATTTCATTCGACAACAATGGTGATATTCCTCATAACTAGTTTTTATACACTTATCTTTCACATGGTTCTAGGGAGTGAGTTTAGTTTTATGCAGCAATCAGCAATATTCCACCTATATGGCCGCGGTCTGTAAATAATCAATCCTGGACCAGACAATCCAGTGATCAAAAGCATGAGCATCGATCTGCACAATTAGGCTAGATCTATGCTTATGCTGTTGATCACTGGACTTGTAAGATATGTTCCATACATGTTGTATGAGATGGTACCACTATGCTGTCGGAGCCCAGTCTGTACTCTGGGTGTTTCAGATGATTATGGAGAAGTTTAAGAAGTATCAGTCGCAAGCTGAAGCCAGGGCTGCTGAGTCCAAAGCAGAGAAAGAGGCTGAAGAGAAGCGCCGACAAGAGAAGATAGCAAAGAAGAAAGCTGCGGAGGAGAAACAACAGGAAAGTCAGAAAGAGGAACCCAAAATCAAAGAACTGACAGATGAAGAGGCTGAGAAATTACAGAAAGAAATTTCAGAGGTGTGATGCGTTTTATATATTTTGTCTATTTCAAATTTGTTGGAGTCACAGCATGATTTTAAAGAAAAATGAAGTAGTCTTTTGTTTGGGAAGTTGAAGCAATTACATATGCTGTAATTAGTGTAACTTCAGACCCCTTATAATTGACATAAAACTGGCTGTTTTAAGTATTGTGTTTTTAACAATTCAGGATTATTGCTTTCATAACAGAAAAAGTCCAAGCCAGCAGAGAGCACTGAAGTAAATGGTGAATCCAAGGAAGACAACAGTGGTGACAAGGAGGTAATTATGCAGAGATTATGTACCTTAACTGTATTGAGACTGTGTACAGAAACTGTGAGGCTGTGTACGGAGACCGTGTACAACAACATGCCAGTGTGTTAGGTACTGATAATGCCCTGAAATTGTGCCACATGAATTTCGTAGACTTTATGAGGAAGACAGCTGTAACCACAGTATCTGTCATTTATGTGTATGAACTATTACAAGATATTTTGTATACATAGCTTAAAAACTCTCATTGCTTTCATCTGACTGAAGTATATGTATGGAAGGTGATCAGATGGTTCTCATCTGGAAACACACATAATTAATATGAGTGGTGGTCATGTCAGTTTGTATGATGTATATTCATGGTAGATATTTACCTTGCAGTCTGATGAGGAGGAGGATGAAAAGGACAAAGGCAAGCTGAAACCCAATTCTGAAAATGGAGCTGACTTGGAGCACTACCGTTGGACCCAGACACTGGAGGAAGTAGAGGTAATAGGCAACTGGTCATCCATTTGGAGACTTTATTCCCATGGTCATCTATCTTTAACTGTTAGTCGAATTATGGCCAATACAAGGATGATCTTGCATTCTCAAGTGTCAGGTCCAGAAATATTGCTGCTGATCAGACGTCCTCCCCACAAATCACTTTGTGGAAATGGGCCTTGCTTTGTTAACATACAATGTGAATAATGTATTGTCATGCACATGTACAGAAACTGAAGGTTTTCAGAATGAGTGTTCATGTTCTTTTATTGAGTTTTTTATGATAATGAGAGAGATCTCTGGATTTCAGATAAGGATTCCATTTGATGTTAAGTTCAATCTCAAGGGGAAAGATGTGGTTGTTGACATTCAGAAAAAGGTATGTAAATTGTTATCTGTTTTACTGCTTTGATGTTATCAGGTATTGATTATGGTATATGTAACCTTGGCAACCTGTGTGACTATCATTGTCTACTGAGACCTGAAGATGTGAAGTTAATGGGAGGCAGATGCCTGACAATGCTCACCACAGACAAAGGCTGATGTGACACACTTGTGGTCTGATCTGTGCGCCTCCACGTAACCTATGAGGCTGAGTGTTAGATTCTTTCACAACCTAAAATATGATGGTCTTGTTTTCAAGGATATATACTGAGGGAAAAAAATATGATTTTTCCTTATCCTGACTCATGCTCTTTTGCTTGTCCCCTTCCTCTTGCGAACATAGTGGAACACTTGTATCTCCTTAATTGAAGCTCCCTTCAATGTAAAATCACTAATTGGTACTCACCCAAGAGTTACCTCCCCTGCCACAAGCTCGGGAACAGGTGTCGCCACCCTCTGGCCTCATGCTTCACTCTCTCCTTCTTCGCCCGTGAGCAGGATGTGAGAGCGCCTGTGTCTTCTTACACACTATATCCTTTGGTTTTTCTTAGTTAGTTACCTATTATAGTTTACTATAAAGGTATAGCTAGTATCCTTCAGTTATTTGCATTGATAAATTATCGTATTTCTACTGTTTATTCAATGGAGTTCGTGGATTGTTCAGCTAGTTTTACGCTGATGAAAAACTGTACTATTTGTAGATTACGTTTTTCCGCTGGCGGATCCGCATGTAGTATGCCCTAGTTGTACTACTTTGTGCGCTTTGATTCACGCTTGCAGTTACTGCATTAATTTAACCAATTCTGCCTTTAATAAATACCATCTTTAAGGCCTTTGAGACGTGTTGCAGATAGGTCACGCCAAACTAGGTGTAGACATGGCCGATACTTCGGATTGCCCATCCAGTCAGCTGCTGTCGAAAGCGATCCCTCCCCTCTGGTGTTCTGCTTGAGACCCCATCGGAAGAGGGACGGGGATGCAGTCCGTCACCTCTAAGAAGCGACCGCCTCCCCAGACATCCTTCTTCATCGCAGACAAAGTCCAAGAGGGCCTCAACGCTCTTCTCAACGCAGACTTCGTGACTTCCCCAGGGCAGCGCCATCCTCCAAAGGGAAATCTCACGGTCATCGAGAACTTTCTCAGCCGAGATCGCTCCAGCAGCAGAATTGGGCCTCAACGATGACCAGCCTATCATCATACCCGACATACGCCACAAGAAGCTTACCAGTGACAGCGACAGTGACTTCAGCAGAGATCACCATGCAGCCTGATGCCTCTACACTGATGTCAGACGAGATCGCTGAGGGCCCCACCGCTAGCACCGCCCAGAGGGCACCATCTACTACGCCGCAGATCATCCCAGACGATCTTATGAAGCAGATCATGATCATGATGGAAGGCCACTACAGACTGGAGAAGCAGCCATCCCAGGGTCCGAGTTTCGCTGAAGGCTCCAACGTGACAGCACCCCAGAGGCACCCCCTGTCAACGTAGCAGCCACGACGATGCAGCCTTCGCTGGCGGAAGTCACAGACCACCTCGACGGCGGACCCAGATGTACAGCCTTCAGCGAAGGCGGAAAGATCATCACCTTCTTCGGGCGCCATACTCAGATAACGGAATCTGATCATCAGACCACACGGAAGCCTTCGCGAAGGTCATATCACCGCTCCCCAGGACCGACGACGCCAGATTTCTTCGCTGGCGTTTCGCTGGCGACACCTGAACCCAGATCGCCATTATCTAAAAAGGACATCGAGGGACTACACAAGAGCTTCGCTAAGCTACCATCAGTCCCCTCATATAGGTCGCCAAGAAGATCAACCTATCGATGTAGATCACCAAGACGATCGCCTCGCCGATCACCACGCCGATCTCCACGTCGATCACCTCACAGGTCTGCACATAAGCCTACAACTAGATCTCCACAAGCGTCAAACGATATAGAGATAGAGCCACACAGCCCTACATCAGAAGAGCAACAACCTCTTATTTATGATGATGGAATGGAAGATGATGGAGGAATTATTTTCTCAGATGCAGAGATAAGATATTGGATGGTCAATAATCTAGATCTCCCATCACCTTCCAAGAGTGGCAATTCGGCGCAGACTTATCTGATGAAAGAAGACGATGCAGATGCTATTACACTACCCCCAATCGACCCGATTGCGGCGGTGCCACAGAACCTAGATACAGCATTTAACAAAGCCACGAAGGTTCAGACGCCACATCTGCCAAATTTCCACGCCAAGAAGTTCTCCACGCATAATATGGACCCCTTCTTCAAAGCGCAAGACATCGATGAGAACTACAAGCTGATCTCCGATGCCAAGAACAAGTACTACAAGATAGATGATCGAAAATTGGTTCAGATAGAAACCATGACGAGGCGTATGTTCTTTGGTCTAAATAGATCTAGAACAATAAATGAGACACTTATCACCAGATTTCGGAACACGACCTCTGAAGATGATAGAATGATTTACTCGGCCCTACTGATGCAAAAGAAGGACCAGCAGTTCTTAACAGATCATCTCACGTCTGTCTCAGCAGCACTGACCTTAGCTCGTCGTCAAGGCCTCCTCGCTTCCTGCAACTGGGGTGAGAACTTTACAGCTCCACTATATACAGCCCCCGTGGTCTTCCCCATCCATCTTTGACGGAGGAATAGACAGAGTCTCCAAGGAAGTCACCAAGGATTCCAGAGAAGTCCTGATGATTAAATCGATGGACACGCTAGCCAGTGTCATTCGACAGACTTCACAAAGATACTCAGGAAGATCTAAATTCACGGGCCTACAAAGAGCAAGAGACAGGAAGATTGCCAGTTCCAGGGGAAGAGATTCTTTTCGTCCCCGCAACTATAAACGCTGAAAGACAGGTTCGGAACGACTGGAGTCTTCCACCCCCAGCCGTTCCAGTACAACCGTCACAAGTGGGTGGACGTCTCCAACTACACTGGGAAAACTGGGGAATACTTCAAGACACCTATGTCTCCAACATTCTTCAACGCGGATTTCGTATCCCACTACAGGCCAAGCCTCCACTAACAGTCAACTCTCACAAGTTCGAGGTACAGGCACAGCAACTACTAAAGTTAAGAGAGACTGTTACATTACTCCTAACCAAGCAGGCCATAGAAGTAATAGAGCAAGGAAACATCGAACCAGGTTTCTACTCCCCAGTTTTCCTAGTACCCAAGAAAAACTCCAAGGAGAAATACAGACTCATTTACAACATGAGCTTCTTCAACAAGACTTATCTAAGCAGACCACCCAGGTTCAGCATGATACATCTACCGCAGTTACGGCACATGATTCACCCCATGGACTACATGGGCAGTATAGATCTACAAGATGCTTATCTGCACATCCCTATACATCCCGAATCCAGGAAATACCTACGGTTTACGCTAGAATGGTTACATTACCTGTGGAAAGTACTCCCATTCGGAATAGCATCAGCCCCATGGTTATTCACGAGGATAACGAAACCGATTGTCACCTATCTACATCGTCAAGGGCTACGCGTCGCGTTCTTCCCTCGACGACGGGATACAAGTAGATCAAGATCCACAGCATCTCAAACTACAGTTAAACTACATCATAAAGCTACTAACACAGCTGGGATGGTTAGTAAACTTACACAAGTCGGACCTAGTACCATCGCAAGATCTGCAATTCCTAGGCATTCGATTTATCACCAATCTCAACCGTATAGTCATACCAGAAGACCGTTGGCTCAAGATCCAACAGATCATTCCACCAGCTCTACTCTCTCCGCTACCACTTCGACAATGGCAGAGCTTACTAGGTCTTCTAACATCAGCCCAAGACTTGACAGTCATAGGCAGATTACAGTTACGTCCCTTACAGGTCTTCATCAACACACATCTCGACGACCTACAACCATTCAGTCTACCGGAACATCTCAGACCTCATCTACTATGGTGGACAAAGAAATCGAATGTCTGCGAAGAGATTTGTTTAGCAGAGCAGGAATTCAAAACCCATCTATATGTAGACGCGTTGCTCCAAGGTTGGGGAGCTCATCTCACCAACCGGACGGCATCAGGGTTATGGAATCAGCTAGAAAGCAAACTCCACATAAACGCATTAGAGATGAAAGCTGTAATCAACGCCATAAGACATTGGAGCAACATTCTACAGAATGTGCACCTGATGATACATACCGACAACTCGACAGTGGCGTTTTATGTGAACAGGCAAGGCTCAGCGAGATCGCCCGAACCTTTTGACTTTAACCTTTCAACTGTTCGAATTAATCCAAGATCTAAATCTACATGTCAAAGCATGCCACATTCCCGAGCCAGGAATATACTAGCAGACGCACTCTCGGCCACATCTACCGTCGCCGACAGAATGGATGCTCAATACAGAGATATTTGCACAGATAATCAAGCAAATAGGAGCCCGCTAGTAGATCTATTAAGCCACAAGGTTCAACAATCAACTACCGACATTACGTGTCACCAGTGCCAGACCCACAAGCATGGGCAACGGACGCTCTAAGCATATCATGGGAAGGCCTCAATGCGTCACAGCGTTTCCGCCCCAGCAATAATACCTCAAGTATTACAGAAAATCAGCCAAACACAGAGCCTACAACTCATTTTGGTCGCCCTACTGGCCGGCCAGAACGTGGTTTCCCGCTCTAATACAAGAAATCGGTCAACCGGCACTAGAGCTACACAAGCGCTCAAACCTGTTAATACATCCACACACCAAACAGGTGCACAGAAACCCAGAAGTATTCAAACTTCAATTATGGACTGTATTAAAATGTGTTTAAACAAGAGAGGATATTCTACCAGGGCGCAAAAGCGGTCACGCTTGCCTTACGATACTCAACGCGTGGTAATGCGATGACAAGTGGCAAAGTTTCGAAATTATGCAGCAAACAAGGGTTTTACAGCAAGAGATGCTACGCGTCCTCAAGTGGCAGACTATTTGTGTTACTTACGGCAAAACA